TTGTACTGACAATACTAACACATAAAATAGCTGATTTAGTTTTTGCACTCCTTCAGTTTGCCACAGTTTGGATTTTCAACTTAAAAACATAAAATACTGCATCAGCCAGGCATGTATAAAGAAGTTGCTGGAGACACTGGCTGTAAATACTTTTACATCAGCTAATATAGTTTTTGTTTGTTTTGGATGGAAAAATTACAATATTTTACTGTTATGTAAGGCATATAACCTTTAAATTATTGAGTAATAATGAACTAGGCTATTTATTTTTTGGTCAAATAAAATCCACTCAAAAAATTTATAGAAAACTAGCTGCTGTACCCGTGCTTCGCAACGGAGATGACACTGAAGAGAAAAAGCTCATCTTTAAAAACTTAAATACATTCACTGCTAAGGGTATGATTTTGAGCTACCCGTTCTGGGCCCTGCACCTCATGGTCCGAAACCATATCATACACACCATATCAGATCTCGAGGCCAGTGTGAGCCAAGTGTTGGTCAGAAGAGGTTATATCGTAGTGTATAGCCATTGAGATGAATAGATTATAACTGGAGTCACCACTCTGTGTTTAAAAAGCGTGCCACTGTTTTTGCTGTTTTTTCCAGTTTTTCGTAATGTTAAGTTGACCAGGTGATTGGTTGGTTGGATGGCTGTCGAATTCGGTCCAATCAGATGGAGTTATTTTTTATGAGTCCAACCAACCGAGACAGTGTGACCAACAAAACACAGTAACAAGCGGCCATCTTGGATGGCACACCTTTCTCTAATGTTCAACCAGAGAGTAGTGACAGTTATAGTCTATTCATCTCAATCGTATAGCATTGCCCAAGTGTCCTAGTATTGTTGTTGTTCCCGCCGTTTCTGCGTCCCATGTTGCAGCAAGTACCAACAGGCTGTTACGACAAGTAGGTACCACACACCATAAAGAAAACATGGACCACATGGGTGGAGGTTTTGTATATATTGTAAATAAACATAATATACTTTTATTTTATTAACTCTTATGTGCAAGATACTTGACACGTTTCCATAATACCAGTTCGTGAAGATTGCCGTGGTCTAATTCAGCAACGCTGATGGCTTGAAATCAAGCCAAATTTTTATGACCTCATATCCGGCAACATCTGATGCGGTACCATATTTCGACAAGGTACATTTAATGAGTAAGTGTTTTCATATGTATTAATTTTCAGCACCACTGAAAATATTTAATTTTTTTTTGTAGCAGGGAATGTGTTCTGTTATATAAAATAGCTACACATCCGCCTTTGGTTTCTCAGACAAAATTCAATTGGACCTCTTAGTTTAAAAAAAAATCATTCTTGAAAGCTTGGCTAACTCATAAGTTTACCTAGTACAAATTATATGAGGCACTGATGCTTATATGAAAACACTGTACTCATACAATTTAATTTTCAAAAGATACACTTATTTAAAGAAAAGTGAAAAGTTTATACAGTTGAAAAACTTACATAGAAAGCCAAAATGTAAAAAATAATCGGACAACATAGGGTACTTTAGTAAAGCAAATAACAATTTATATATATTTCACATAAAAGTGATATGTTTTTCCGTTTACTCGTTTCATAGTTCATTGTATTTACATTAATTTGCCCGCTAACCACTGAATAAAGAATAGTATCCTATGTAAAATAGTATAAGAAAATGTAAGTAGTAGCATTGACTATATACAGTATACATACATAGGTTGATATGTTCATGAAAATTAAAGTTCTTGTTGAACTTAAAACTACACTTCAAACCGGACATCAAATGGACAATCGAGTCAAAAATGACAGCTGTTCAAGATTAATTGAATTTGCAGTGTTATTGTACGCTATATCCTCAGGGCCCTTTAGTTAGAAGACGGAAGAAAATTATAAACCTAAGCATAGGTTGATATGCACATAAAATTTAAGGTTTTATAATACATTTAAATTTAAGTATAGTAAAATGTCAAAAATTTTAGTTCAAAATACAAAATAACAACTGAGTAAAAAATTGCAGCCATTTAAACTTTCAAAATGGCAGATTCAAGAAATCTTTGAATGACTGCAATTTTTACTCGGTTGTCTATTTAAGATACGGTTTGTGGCATTGTTTTTAGTTCAACAAGACCTTTAATTTGATGTAAATATCAACCTATGCTTACCTTTAAGATTTTCAACATACTCCCTTTGGGACGTCCCCATAGGTGACATCCGATCACCATGTACACAGAAAGGTAGCTAGCTATCACCAGTAATGATATACCACAATTTGGTTGTGATATCTCTTTTAGTTTTAAAGTTATAGAGTTAAATAAAATATTTAATAATATGAAAACTAGTATTTTTGTATTGGTATTTCAAGAAAAGAGTAAATCAGCAACCCTTGTAAAATTTACCTATAAATTAGAGAAAAAGATTTAATTGCCATCAATGGCAGACATAAAGAGGGTTCTACCCGCTAGCTGTTACCACGTAAACATGGTCCTAAAAAAAAGAACCACGTGGCATTATTTAAGTGTTTATCAAGTTTAAATAAACTGTAAAATATTCATAAAGATCCAAACTTTGCACTGGATGAACTAAAACTTCGTAATTGTTTCTTTAAGTATTTACAAAATTATTTTGAAAATCTGTAAATTAGTCTTTTTCACATGTGATTTTAACTTCTAAATAATAGTTAAAAATTCATTTTTGCAAACTCTGATAAGTTAAGAGCAAAAAAAAGCACACGACTATTAGAAACAAATTAGTTTTAGAATGTTGAGAGCTTTTACAATAGAGGCATGTTCAATCCCAAACTATATTTCAATCCATATAATCTGCCATCTTGAATTGAAATTCAGGCTGCTAGGAAGAACCCCTTTAAACCCATATTAAAACTAAAACTAAATATACTTCAGAATTTACATAATGATGTAAAGTGATGTGATAATGATGTAAAGTCTGCATGCAACATTAAAAGTATTACCAAAGATTACATATGCTACGCAACATTTTTCCTAGCATATGTAATCTTTGGTATTACTAACAGTAACAGCATATATCTAATGAAATATAAAGAAAGATTAGAAAATGTGAAGAATGGATCAAATCTATACCATAAAAAGGGCACACTGAAAACATTATAAAGATAAATTCCATACAAATACTTGACTTTCAAAAAGTATGTTGTAAACCTTTCCAATCAAGTTGAAAAATTCTTGAATGTACTGGTGCTACGTAAAATAGAATGATAACAATGTTATTAACCTCCCAAATTATTATTTTATCCAAAAAGGTAAAAAGATAACAGTAACAGGATACTAACTTCAAAAGGTAAAAAAAAAAACAAATACCAACCAAAAAGAACCAAGAGCGATAGAGTTGACATAGAGGAACACATGACTAGATCACAAGCTCTTTGCACTGCTCACTGACAACACAAGCACTAACCCTGACCTGACCTAGTCAGTGTACTGACTGGTCAACTGATAGTGTTACTGAAAATAAATCACCAGCTCTTGGCACGGCTGTTATACAATGTCTAAAAAAACTTAGTTCTTTCCCCTTTCACGACAATTTACAGGTTTTATGTAATTTTTATTTATGAAGTACAGAGTCGTGAGAACAGTGTTGAACCATTTGGTTTGTGTCTCTAAGTGGAACCTCCTCAAGAGTGTGGATTTTCCCCCTTGGTATACCCCAACCAATGGTGGTCAATCCTCTATGATTAATCATCTACTTTATTGTTTGTAGATGACACCACCTTGTACAAAAAAGGAAAGAACACTGCCAACTGAGGGCTGAAGCGACCTGCTAGCGTTGACTAAGGATTGGGTTGTAAGTTTTTTTTTTTTTAATAGAGGTTGGCGGTCTCTCCATTTAACTCCACACACATAGACTAACCGCCCATGCGTGGATCGTATACAGCAAAGCAAGGAGTGAGCCGGTACAGTACAAAGGTGATCTGTACTGATAAAATGTTTTCGGCAGTGACCAGGATCCGAACCCACGACATCGCTGCCTTGGGCCCGAAGTCCGCGACGCTACCGACTGACCCACCAACTCACTAACTGATTTCTAGTGATTCAGTGATTTTTTACTGACTGAGTTTTAGTAGTTTGCATCAAAACCTCTTCAAAACCAATGGGACAAAACACTATCCATAATCTGCAGTCTGTAATTTAGGATAGAACCAAAGAGGGCTATGAAGCTATCAGGACTTTGCATTGACACATGATAAGGCTCATCCACACTGACAAGGTATGTGTCAAGTTTTCAAGAGTCTTTTATCTCAGAGAAATTATTACCAAACCTTACTTGATTAACATCTACCATTCTAATTCAACTAACTTAATTTTAATAAAAAAACTAGCAACAACTTTGACCTAAAGATTCAATATACACGTGAGGTTGGAAGAACTAGCTCTAAAGATAGTTAAAGGTAATACTTTACATTCTTAAAAACAATCAAACTGATAAATTTTTATACTAAAAATATTGGGTAAACATTTATTTTAATTTTAGACTTTGTACTTGGTGGCAAGATAAGCTTGAGGTTTGAAAGAAACACATCGGTTGCAACATGATATCTGTTATTTTTATGGTTATCAGTGACTGGCTTTGTTGTTATTGGTTACGTAAAGTTTGGTTGAACAGTTTTATATTGACATTTCATTGTAGACTATTTAGGGAGTACTAATATTGAATAGGGTTAACATTTAGTTTCAGAAATAGAAAAATCCTCTAGATAATTAGTTCAACTGGTGTTTGAGTAATTATTCTGAAAAAAAAACACACAAATAAAACGACAAAACCAAACATTACAATAGTTGAATTAGTCTTAGTTACTACTAACATTAACCTATAAAATATACTAAAGATACATTATTAAATTAATTTCCAATGACAACCTTTGGTCACAAAATAATTCAAAAAAAATCTTTGACATCTAGGTGTGGTAAAAAAAAACTAATCGGAAAATGAGAAATCATCAAGACATATTCAGGTAAAAAACACACATTCAAAGCTATTTTGAGTAAAAATTTATTAAATTTAAGTTATGTACAAAACTATAATACTTAGTCAGTTTCCATGACGGTTTCCTTCTCTTTGGTTCGTTCCTCTTCTTCTTCACTATCAGTGTCCAAGTCAGCGCCAGGATGAGCAGGAACTTTCCTCAGAGGTTGCACCACACGGTGAGAGGCCGGCGCAGTCCAAACCTTCTGGGCATCCTACATAACAATACAGCGAGAGTCATGGTAGTGTTAAGATGACCAGAATAAGACAGAGATGAAATTTGTGCAATCTTAATTTTTCCAATATTTAGAAAGCACCTGTAGCACTTAACTAATATATTAGAAATACAGCAACTGTAAAGATTACTTACATAAAATGCAGTCTTCATAGCTTGGACTTTTGTAATATAGTAGTCGTAGACATAAGTGGCCATCTGAGCCATGTTCTGCACAGCGAGAGTAGCAGTGGGAGGGGGGGAAGATGTGTGTGGTCGCTGGGTAGGATACGTCTCCCCGGGAAACAAGATCAGCTGCTGCGGCCGCTGAGTCAACTGTTACAAAGGATTATTAGCAAATATTTTACATCAAATGAACCCTCAATTGTTTTTACATGCGTTGCAATTTTAAAAGTCAAAGGCTTTACTGCACAGCCCTTGGTATACTGAAAGTATTCAGTGAAGTTTGAAATTTTTATGCTTTTGGAAAACCTCTGGATGGTCTTTCATAAATAGTTAATTCTAAATTTTTTTTTCCTAGGACGCGAGACACAAGCCTGGGATTGTTTTCACATTACTTCAGGCTAGACCTAGGGGTTGCAGCATTATCACTTATGTAAAATCCATTGGTAATTTGGCGGGATTTGAACCCAGGGACCGAAGTTCCGCGCTCTACCAGTAGACCAGCTCGCTCCCCTGATTCAATAGATTCAATTCTAAACTACTGAAACACTTAATAATGTTAAAAGAGTTAGTACAAAAAATTAATTATCGTGGTAAAATAATTAGTAACATTTTAAAATACATTTTCGATGATCAGTGAGGACTAGTGGCACAGTCTAACTTCCATATAAACAACCTCAATTAAACAAATTCCTTGACATAACAATTTTTTTAAATCCCCTAGAAATCTCAATAGGACACAATGTATATTCCACGCAATGAACAAACCATTTTAAAAACCTTGATTTAACAAAGGTTTGATGATCCCGACTGATATAAGTCACCTCAATATAAAAAATGTATCATTACCATAACGTCTAGGTTATGAATTAAACCTCTACTTAACAAATTATCTGTGTATATCCCTCAATATAACAAACCCCAACATGATGAAAATTAAATGGAAAGAAAAAATACTGCAAATGCTTGAGGTTGAGGTTGAGGTCAGTGCATCAATGTACCAATGAGAGCAAACTGTCTTGGAATACAATAGTTTATGTTATGAATTGAGCAGTAACTGGATTGATATTTTTGACCAGAACTTCAGAACATTTTGCTTGTGCCTCTTGAAAACAGCAAATAATTCTGTAGTATTGTGTTGCATGTAAGTATAAACAGATACCTGATGGATGGCAGGAGTGAGCTCAAAACAGTTGTTGAAGAGGCTGACCCTTGCAAACACGTAGAGACCCAGTCTTGCTCGAGACATGGCTACTACCAGACGACGGACATCTCGCAAGTGACCCACAGCTTTGGTCCTCACCAGACTAAGCAGGATGTAGTCATTCTGTTGTCCTTGGTACTTGTCCACCGTTGTCACCTGCACAGAAACATACATTCATTGAGCCAGACCTTCTTACACCGTATAACTTAGGGGACTTTTCCTGTACTCTAATACAAGATATGGCTGTTTCTTTGTAAAATTTATCTTGAAATCCAATGGAAGGATTTTGCCTAAAGTTTGGAATTAGGGACTTGTATGCCTAAAAACTAGATTGGCAAAAGCCAACTACCTCTGGAAAATTCATTTTTCAAATTCAAACTGGGTTAAAATGTTCAACTAGAAAATATTGCTACAAAAGTATCCTAAACTATCGAGGCTCAGGAGTTTATATTCCTCTACTATTAGATAATGTTGAATTTACCTTGTGAGGTCTGCCAATGAGAGGGTTACTAGCACAGCGAATGTTGATGACATCCCGTATCAAGTGCTTCTGGCCATTGTACGTGGTCAGGATGGAGATCTTCTCAGCAGGATAACCCAACAGTCGCATATACATGAACACAGCCACACAGTATTCTGCTTCTGCTAGATTCTGTATGTTTGCGAACAAAAAAAAATTATTGTTGAAGAATTGTTAAGTGAGTTTAATTATAATGGGCTCACAGAATTTTGATTCTTAACCTTAAAATATTTACATTTCTATGTTTTTGTCAACTTTTAGCAAATCTTTTGGCTTAAGAATTAGGTTTTTTATTTGAAGCTAACTGAACCAATTACAGACAACAAAGTCTTAGTTACTTGATTACAGCGAAAACCATCATTAAGAAAATAGCACTGTAGTTAACAAAAAAATAATTAAACTTGAACATTCATTTAAATTTTTGAAAAAATTTTCTGAACATTTTAAAAACTTCTTTGTAGCAGTTGTATAGTCAGGCTTAAACGTTACATTACAATAACAAAGGCATACCAGGCTTATTGTTAAACTAAACTGACATTTTGAACTGTTTATTTTCCACTATGTCACTATGGTCCTCTAAGTTACTGTCAAAAAACACCAAAGTTAGAATTTATAAGACAATAATCAGCCCAGTATTATTATACGGAGCTGAAACATGGAAACCAAATAAAAAAGAAGTTAATCACATTCGATAATAAGATTTTAAGAAAAATCTATGGACCAATTTATGAAGGTGGTGAATGGAGGAAGAGACACTACAGAGAACTGAGAGAACTCTACAGAGATCCAGATGTGGTGTGTGAATTTAAGTGTAGAAGAGTTAGATGGGCTGGACATGTTTTACGAAGAGAGGAGCAAAATAAGTTAAAATTAGTTTTACTAAGAAATCCCGAAGGAAGACGACCGAGAGGAAGGCCAAAACAAAAATGGTGGAGCCAAGTAAAGAAAGACATGGAGCAACTAAGAGCAACTGAGGAGGATGCAGAGGATAGAGCAAGATGGAGAGGCTTTGTTGGTGCGGCCAAATATCTTCTTAGATATGCATGGCCCTGAGAGTAAGAGTAAGTATTTTCCACTATGTGTTCTTTAAAGAGCCTGAAAGTAGTTGTAAGCCTACCTGGTAAAAGTATGGACTGGGCTCTGACTCTCCGACACCATTGAAGTCCTCAACATTGATGAGTTGGAAGTCGTAGGCAAATCCTGCATTGGCTACTCGATACATGGACCAATTCTCCACATGTGACAGGTTACCAAGCTTCTTGTATCTCCAGTTATACAGATTACATATGCTGAAAATGAAAATTGTATATACACTGTTCTTATTCATAAAGAAAAGAAACATAAAAATATTTGCTATTTGATTCAAGAATTTTTTATGATTTTATGGTATACCTTATCGTTACTCTAATGTATTCGATTACTGTAGACACAGTGAGACACAGTTCACCAACATATAATTTTGTATGTTACCAACATAATTCATCCGATAAGTGTACCGTTAGAGGTGGTATCATCTAAATAAAACTCTCGATGGAGTGATTTTCATCCTCACCTTTAAACTTTCAATCGGCAGTTTGCTACCTAAACTCCTCCCAAATGTTACCATACTCTGCCAGTTGGATTCACGTACCACTAAAATGTAGTTTTTATTTGAATAACCATTAAAACAAAGTAAAAACAATGTGTGTCATCACTACAGACACCATAATCACTATCCTCATACTAACAGAACATACTATTCTTACATAACTGATGCCAATAAAACTACAGTTAAGAAAGTGACTAACCTAGGTCTTGCCCTGCCCTGGGCGTCCAAGTCCACGGTAGGCACGCCGAGCCGCACTATCCTGGTAAACAGGGACTGTTCCATGTTGCTGTACTTCTGGAAGGCCATGTTCTTGATGACTGGAGGCAGCTGATGATGGTCTCCAATCATGATCCACCGCTTTAGTCTGCTGAACCCGTCCTGGGGGTTTTGCAGCAACAATGGAATGAATGTCTCAATCTCCAAGATCTGCGCTGCCTCCTCCATCAGAATGTTGTCATATTTGAATCCTGTACAGATACTCACATTAGGTTTGTTCTCCCCTTTCCTTATTGTACCAAAGGTTTTCTAGTTTTATTACAGTCCAATAAAAATACGGAACAACCATTACATCCTTAGACTACAGAGCCACATTATGGTCAGAACTTGCAAAACAATAAGATCCGATAATCAATAGAGCAAAAACATGTTTAAGTCAAAATCAATAAACCCTTCTATAGAAAAATAATAAGTACAATAATTTCATTTGCAACACCACGTACAGAAAAAATTAATTTTGTAAAGCTAGAAGGTGAGTAAAGGTTACACAGCTCATTACAATGTAAAGATGTAATTTTTAAACTCACCTAAGTCTACTAGTTCTTTTCTCTTCAATGCAGCATGAGTACAGGTCATGGCTATAACTTTAGCTTCTTTCACAAGTAAATATTTTGAACGGTCGAGTCCACTGCGTAGCAACTCAAATGCTCGAAACTCCTCTAGCTGGGTGAATATTTTTTCAATATACCTAGGAATAGTCAATAGATTTTAATTACACAAAGAAAACTGGTAGCAAGAGTTTTTGTAAGAGTTGGTTACCTGAATGAGAGAACCATTGTAAGTTGGATATTATATAAGTTCATTGATGTAGCAAACCTAAGAGAATGAGAAATAATGTCATTGAACTTGTAAGTGGTAAAAAAAATGAAACTAGACCTAAACCCTCACCTCACGTAAATAACATTAAGCTCAATGAGTATTTAGCGTTGTTTATAAAATGAATGTTAGAAGCCTACAGTGAAATAAAGAATTGTGCAAAATGTAAAGAAGATAAAACCATAGATAAGCATTCTACGTTAATTAATTTATTCTCATAGGGCTAATGCAGATTCATAACTGCATTTAATACTTCTCTGTAACCAATAGGGGTAGTGAGATAATACAATATGAGTATGTTTAATTGTTTGTCTGCTTGGACTGGATTGAATGATATAGAACATATTTTTTGTGAAAACGCCTAAAACAAATTTTTACTGTCAAAACTAGGGGTGTGCGAAGCAGCAAAAAATTTTCGATTCGAAGCAACGATTCGATTCAAAAGATTTTCGATTCGATTCGATGCAACTCGATTCGAAGCAATACGGTATTTTTCTATTCATAATTGTCAATTGAGTGGATTAACAATAATTAAAATTTATCACATTTGTGTAATACAAATTTTTGTTGATGTGGTATTAGGCCTATTCATACTTACATATGAATTTTAGGTGAAAAAATATTTATTTTCAATCATATGTATTAGAATAACTGCTGGAAATACCAGTGAGCTGCTTTACTTGCCTATTTCATAATTTTTACTTGGAATTGGCTCAACTGCAAGAAAGAAGAAAATATTTTTTTAACAAGACATTCATTCTCATTTTAATAACTGTTTAAATAACTAAATAGGTACCGGTAGCTAAATTACAACAAATTTGAATGGAATTTAATATAAAAAGACCATTAAGAAATAAATTTACATATCACAAGTTTAGGGCCTGTGGACCGGCTTCAGGACTGCAAGCAAGAAGAAAATAAAAATAATATGTTTCCACCATGCAACATGTATCATTCATTCCCTGCCTCCTAACCTCCTTAGTATAATAACCTCACACTTACATTATTTGTTACATCATCATAAATAAAGAATTATTATTGGCATCAGTAGGCCTACAGCTTTACGTAGGCATTATTTTTATAGGGCCTAAAATAGTAATAGGCTAGAAGCAACATGTCAAGTGGAGAACTCATTGAAGAAAAGATATTGTGTAAACTAATTTCCTATAAAACTCAAAAACAGTAAATAACATACAAACATTGTTTATGGTATCATTAATAAGGACTAAAAAATGCATATCATGTCATACAGTAGTATAGACCTACCGGTACTGCAAGAGATTAAAATCCTAAAACAACTGATTTTGATAGCTAATGAATGAAAAGAATTAAAAATGCATAAAATGAAGCTAAACAATATCACAACTAATTAGGTACCCGAAAAGTAACTCTTAAATAATATATAGAAGATTAAAATAATATTAAATCAAGAGACAAGAAAGTTAAATGCTATCTTCTAGTGCCCTTGGCAACACAGGTCAATGTTTTTAAACTACCCTCAATGTTTTTGGAACAGCATGGCCTTTTTCTCTTAAGGAAGGGTAGTAGTGTCAACAAAAACAATGAATCAGTCTCACCAGCCAGGCCCGGGCAACGATGTGTGAATTCAAGGTCATAGACCCTCCCCCTCCCCTCTTACACCACCCGGTTTCTACCCAGTTGCTTCAATTGCTGACAAAATGCAAGTGATGAAACAAGGAAGTAGAGACAAAGAAGTATATTTCTTTATTCAAAAACACAAAACTGTTAGAGATTATTTTCAAAGAAATTAATTCAATGTAATTTGTGAGTTGTAAATATTGTATTGGATCTTAGAAATATATTTTTTAACCCTATTTAACCAAGATACAGATCTGTTCACTATATCAGATATTTCTTTTGTTTATAATTTATTATGTAAAATACTAAAATATATTTTTAATTAGGTATTGAATGAACAATAAATGATTATACTAGTATGTCTGGATAAATAGTCTTTCTATTCTTTTGACTTTGTTTTCTTTGCACTGTTAGTGTTGCGTCACGGCTTTTGTCTTGTTACTCTTATCAGTAGACGACTAGACCTGGCTCTGGCTAGTGGCAGTGCGGCAATTGCTCTGTTGTGTCTTTATTCTTAAAGGTCGTGAGCCAACTTAATTTTTAATTCTCATTTGAACATTTTAATTCCTCTGTAATAGATATAATAATATAAGAGTGTTTCTTTGGAAATAAATTATTCTTTTTTTTCTTTTGCCCCAACAAAAATTCGGGGACGGGGACCGACAGACACCTAACAAAAATACCAAATGTATCAGTCTATAACATTGATCTTACTAGTTAAGTATTAAGTAACAATTTTTCAGACTTATTTTAAAAATGATTTTGGAGTAACCTACCTTGTTTTGTTGTTTTGTCACAGTAGTAAAATATTTCACACACTGCTTACATCAAGACAAAAAACAAAACCTCTAATCATTTGCAATGTCAAAACAAAAAAATATAAAACAATTAAAGCTATATTTAATGCAAAGAATGTATTAAATAAGAACGCCTTCGTAAAGGAAACGCAACAGCAACGCGCTCCTGTATTGCGGGTATTGCGTTGACTTTCTGCAGGCGTTTTTCGTATATGGATACTGACTCCCTCGTGAATCGAATCGTTTTTTGACCACCACTGAATCGAATCGCGATTCGATGCATCGAATCGAATCGAATCGAAATTTCGATGCATTTTCGATGCATCGCACACCCCTAGTCAAAACAGACTCAAAAATGCTTCCAATTCGAATCAATTTGGTTTGCAAACTCATACTATGGATTTTGTTTTACATATTTGACTGATACAAAATTTGAGCTTTAGAAGAGTTTTTTTTTCATTCATTTACATATAGTACAATGGGCAATAGAGAAAAATCGTTATTCATAATTTCTTTAAGAAATATATAGGCAGTTGTTTAAGTCTGGGCCAATTTTGCTTATAGCTCCGTAGATCGCATTTACACCACTACAGGGCTTCATGCTGCTTACCTTGTGAACAGAATGACACCATTTGCAGTACTGTAGCTGATATGTATGCTTCGCTGTGTGTTTTTAAAATTGTTCAAATCATTGAACCTCCCGCCGTGTGAGAGATAAGTTCAGTGATACGTTTTTTGATTACATGAAACATATCCAATGCCGACATTCATTGCCAGGTTATGGCCTGAATGCAATGAGTCAGGGGAAAGAGCGGAAACAGGTTATGGAGTGTAAATATAGCCACCTCTTTTCATACAATTAAAAATTCCAACAGTAATTAATTTGTACATTTTTCAAGTTTTACTCTACACCAAGTCAAACTTGCATTCTTTCCCCCTTAGATCTGACACTCATGAGTACAATACTAGGGGTGGAGGCAAGCTCAGCATGAAACCTCATAGATTGGCTAAAACGGGTGACTCTTACAAAATTAACTCAATTCGCTTTTTTAATAAACTACCTGATAGTGCAAAATTTGTTGATTACAATATTTTCAAAAATAGAATTTATAATTGGCTAATTCAAAATCCTTTCTACAGCATAAGTGACTTTATAAAGTGTAATTTTGATGTAAATTTTAATTAAAATAAGCGATTATACCTAATTAATTGTACTTTTTATATTATTTGGATGTATCAGAAACTTGATTGTATTTGGATGATTATTTTGTAATGTATATGACGTGTCCTATTTCTTTGTAAAAAGATCAATGGAATAAATGATTCTTATTCTTATTCTTATGCTTATGAAAACATTTTTTCCTTGTGGTATTCTGTGAGAAGTCTGCGTACCCCCCCCCAAAAAAAAAAAACACATAGCAATAGGGGATTAGTAAGACTAAAAGAGTAAAAGTAATATATTGTAATCCTTCCAGCGCTGTTTTCCTTTGATCGTAACATTATTAAAAAGAAAAATAGAATTAATATTACTTTAGTTTAAAATTTAAGCAATAATGCAACTAACCTGAAACACCCTTCAGCAATCTCCATGTCTTCTTCATAGCTACGACCTTTGAAGAGAGGTTTGGGAGCGTTGTCAAAGAATTTATGGAAGGGAAATTCATCGTTGATCAGTTTGATAGGTACTGTCTGCAAGCATAAAGTGATGGTATCAAAATTTAATAAAACTGTGTTTCATATATGTGAATAATTAAAACAACTGATATCTTATAGTGATAAACGATTTATACTCATTTTACAATTTAAAATCTATATGGTAAATTCAGTATTGAATAAAGGCCCAGTTTTTAGTTCATATGGGGTGTTTTTGTGTTGTTTTCACAACATACCATTCACATTGTGCTGTGCAATAATTTGAGCCTCTCTCAAGATTAATTAATCTGAGCCCCTGGCAGATATGATTATGGTTGATAAAAGCCTAAATCTAGATCAGCCACTAAAGGACGAATCAGAACTGTGACAGATTTGGTTTGCACAGCAAAGTCAATGAACCTTGGAAAAACAAACCTTCTTATTCTGTGGCCGGACAGCGGCGAGGAAGATCTCCCACCGTGCCAGCACCTGATAGAGGAAGAAGTGACCAGCCGTCTCACAGGTGTAGGCTACATCTCCAGCTACCTCCAGGCTCTCCTGTAGTCTCTGTACTTCTGTCAGCAAGTCCAGGCGCTTGGCCAACACATAGTTGACACGTCCATACCTACACAGTCACCACAACATTACGTAACTTGAACACTGTACACATCACAGCACTCACAGCACAGAATGATAAAGAATTCATATAATTTACATTGTGGAGCGAGCTGGTTTAGTGGTAGAGCACAGAACTTCGATCCCTGATGTTCTGAGTTCAAATCCTGCCAATCACCAATGCATTTCATCCAAGTGCAACTTCTAGGCCTAGCCTGAGATTGTGTAAAAAACAATCTCACACAAAAGTCTAATAACAAAGATTTATCGTTTACAATAAATAGAATAGCCTTGTTTAGTGCACGCATTGGCCATAAGCATAGTACTTCAGTAGGAAACACAATAATGTGATACCTACCTACCATATTACATGCATGCAGAATATGTAAATTTGTCTTAAGTAAAGATAGTTTATGGGTTACATTCATGTTGGTTTAGTCCAAGCATCGCCAAAAACACACACGCTAACTTTCACACATATACAAGTGCTTGAAACACACACAATCATCTTGGGGACACACTAACATGTTGCCAATTCCCGTTTCTTCAGGGTAGTGTGCAAGTTAAATTATTACTGCTTGCTGACCACAACTATCGTATCAGCTACCCGGTGGGTTCACAAACCTGCTAAAGTCTTTCTCAGTCTCCAGAGCTTCCTCTCCGTGACCGAGACGCAACAAATGGCGCTCGTCAATGTCTAGTGCCATGATCTTCTCAAACAGCTGGTTCAGAGCCTGGTTGGAGTGGGTGACTATCAGCGTGCGCTGCGCTGGGAAGTTGTGGTACAAGTTGGAGATTATTTGCACAGCCACGTCTGTTTTCCCTGTACCAGGGGGACCTACAACCTGGGTGGAAAATAATCACACGGTTGAAAACAGTGAAAATATAATGAAAGGCAAAGAATATTGAACTAAAACCAATCACTTCCCTAACCATGCTCTTCATACATTGGGGATTTTTACGACATTAGAATTCAATTAAGTACAATCACAATCACTTTTAACTGTGGTAGTCTACATGCAACGGATTACAAATAATGTTTGATGATTTCAATGTGTATTTGCAGTTAAATGCCGCATGTGACAGACATTTTCCGAATGGCTCAGTATAAGCAGTACAAGCGTTTGGGCAATTTAAATGATTGATTAAATACACTATAATCCCTTATACGATTTGACATGAGAAATGAGGTTGCTGGCCAATTTTATTTCCCAGGACGGAACAGAGGACCAAGCAGAGCTCACAGTAGGCTAATGTTCTGGCCATAACAAATGGCTACTATGGAATAGTTTAACACTCTGATTCATTACCTTTACAACTTGATAAAGTAGAATGTACTGTTATTATGAAATTGGCATGTCTTTTACATAAACAACCTCAAACTTTCAGACCTAAAACTTGTTAGTAGACACTGTAGGAATCCAGTATGAAATCCAGTAGGTTTGAGAATTTGACAGCCTGGGTTATTGAAAATTAACTGAAAATTAAGTTAATTCAGTACTGAATGTCCAACAGCCGTTACTGATTTACTTAATCAACTAAAAAATTGAATATTATATTTTCATTAGTAGGGTTTTTATTACACTGCATAATGTTTATTCACACTAATAACTACTTTTACTGTCAAAATATATGTTACAATTCAAATGTTTTCTTACCAGAGTGAGGCCTGGCTGCATACCAGCCCTGATAGCTTCTACTTGGGTAGGAGTGAAAAGAATGGCATTCCTGAAAAATTACAATAATAATAATTATATGACTGTGCATAATATGTAAAATTAATGAGAGATGAAGATAAACTAATAATAAACTTATATTTTGAAGTAGTTGAATTTCTAGAGACATTGTAGTAAAGATAATACCTCATCGTTCTACAGTAAAAGATTGTGTGATGGAAACACAATTACACAACACTTTAAAACATCTATGCATTAAAAATGAAATAAGTTTAGATGAATAATGCTAAAATTTCAAATTTGGTTTCCTAAACAGCTTCTCTTTGGATTTAAAACTTATATTCTTTGAGCGATGTAGTTTTTCTTTTTTATAAAAATCTTTCAAACTATTATACTACTTTTACAGTATTTGGAGGATTTAAACAAACAAATTGAGATCGAAATGTTTGCAAATATCCCCCAATTCCCATAAACCATAAACCAATTTTCATAAAATTTAACTTCAAACAAAGTAGTACTTTTAGATTGAATGAAATACATGGAGTTAGATAACATAGGTGCAAGAGAGCAGCTTGACAAACTGCTGCCCTTGTTGTTTAAAGATACAGGCTTACTTTTTGGGCTCATTGAAGAGGTAAGGCCCTCGACTTGGAATCACATGAGGCTCCACAACAATGGACTTCTTGATAGATTCCTCCTCATCTTTGTCCTTGTTGTGTTTATGTAGCACATCTTCAAAAGTTAATCTGCAGGCGCAAATAACAAAATACATGGTGAAAAATAAATAATAAATAATACATTGCTTTACTTGTCCGGAAAACACATTTTGTACGAGTGACGTACAATATTTTTTGCCATACAACTACAATAAAAAAAAACTAACCTAATACTGTAATAAAAACAAAACTGTGCAAATCTGTTATATTCCTACCGACTAAAGGACTAACAATCATTACTCATAACCTATAAGAGAGAGGTTATGTTTTTGTTTGTAACAACTCATTGCCAAATACAATTAGCTGGTGTCAGGTAAAAACTCATTACAGTACAGTAGTATGTAATGAAACACCATTTGATTAAGTAGGTTGCAAATAGCTGTTTTCCGGACTAAATCCTTGTGTGGAAAGTTTGATTAAAAAGTGTAGAGTGGTGGAAAATACATTACAGTTTTTTTTGCATAACTATAATGTGTAATTCAAACTTTAGAAACAACATTATCATTTAAAGTTTAAATTAACTTTCATGTAGTAGCTGCAAATACAGCAACAAAAATGTAACGTTAGTTACAACAAACTAACCTGAAGGGAGGAATTAATTTTTTTGGGTTGTCTGTTTTGACTTTGATTTCATACTCTGGAAAACTTGCTCTAAGGTGGTCCATGTCCAGAAATGTATCGTTAAAATCCATTGTCGCTATTTCATCTTGCATCCTAAAACAAACAATAAAAGATTATAGCTCCATAGTATAAACTTCCCTCTAAATGTTGGGTGTCCTATAAGAGGATAGATCAATGAATGACAAAAGAGATTGCACTCAAAATCTGAAAGAGTGTGATGATATTTTTTTCTTTCCGAACTTTAACAAATATTCTACTTCTCTATCTAGGGGCAAAATGCAAGGTAAGTGTCAACATGGATGGCGACTGCAATTATAATAGTGTCAGACCCAAAAATGCTGTATTATGTTTACAGCTCAAAGTTATTTGCAATGTAAACAATAATTTTCAATTCTTTACAGGTAAGTTTCAACTCTTACATGTCATAGCTCACCGCATACATTTTTCTTTTAAATTGGATCAGAACTAGAGTTATTTAAATATTAGCAATACATTTGAAGCATAAAACAATTTGTCTACAGTTGGCCGACCCTTACTCAGTGTAGTGTGCTGCACCTGGGTCGCCATAGCCCAGGATGATGTCATGTAGCCAGTCCGGCACCACACACTCAGTGTTCATCAGTTCTCTGATGGTCTCCAATACTGCTTTGAAGTTGTTCTCCTTGGGCTTACGTCTCATCAGTATATTGAAAGTCTCATAGACATCCTATAACAAATTAGCAATTTTATTTTGTGTCCATTAAAAAATGTGAAAAATATGAAATATTCTAATTATTTTCAAACTTTGTTTTATACACAGAAAATACCCAACTATGTGTTTAATTTCATGTACAATGAATACTGACGTATTTTAAGGAAAAAATTTACATATAAATATAAATACCTCCTTGCCCTGACTGGCGCGGTCCATGTCCTGGCGGTACTGGTTTGAGTCAAGCCACACTCGGAATGTACGACTGTCTCCAGCCAGCGTGGGGCGAGGCTCGGGGCCGTCCTCTATCACACGGCCGTTCTGGTCCAGCATACCTTCCATCTCACAGCCTCTCACATACACAAGGCCACTCTGTGTGAGAAACTCACCTCTCACGTCAAACTTGGTACCTGACAACACATTGACATTGATACAGAGACAGCAATAGAGGAAACCACCTCCACAACTGCATACAGAGGGTGGGGAGCTGGGTATTGAACTGTAGTCGAGTCACGAGATGGCCTCCTGGTTGGCCAAACATACAATGCAGAGTTGAGTAAAGTATGCTGAAAGTTGAAGGCGTTTTACTGGTTCCAGGCAGCAGGCATGTTTTTAATAAATTACTAACGAAACTCCAAGAAAGAATATGTAAAAAGTTGTTTGTTATAATTAAAATATATGTCTATTTTTAAAATTTGGGCTTTATTTAATTTCCTGGCTAAATATTTTGAAACCTTTTAAGTGTATGTTTCCAATGGTTTGCCGGCTCAGTAACGCCTTCAAAAAATTGCTAGGCCAAGTTCCAGGGGCCATCTTGTAACTTGGTTACAGTACCTATGCCTACGAATTATATCTCTAGAAAATTTTAAAACGACAGTATACTATACACATGATACACAAATGATATCAACAGTGTCTTTGTCCATTCTTTTACAAAATTAAGAAAATTAAACGTTTGCTGATAGCATAACAAACCTTGTAGTTAAAAGAATAACCTATTGTGTGAGACATTGCTTCAATTTTAATGATTTGCAAAAATATAACAATAATGATTAAATATTGTTTGCAACTGCAACTACAACATTGAGTGGAGAAAATCTAATTGTTTCTTTCTTTGTCTAAATGCCTACAACAATATGTTACGGACAAGCTGTACCAAAAACATAAAAAAAGGTGAAACCTTTATGTATTTAAGTAACAAAACTGTATTAAATTTAATTTAGTATTATCTTTCTAATTGTTACCAATGGGTAGTGTTGGCCGGACAGTGATGAGGAAACAGACATCGTGTTTGCGCAAGTTCTCCCATTCTGCTTTGATCTCACTGCGGACACTCAGATTGACTGTGACGTCTGCTCTCACTCGCGATGGCTTCTTCTCACCTAACATACACAAACCACCACCATTAGCAAACAGGTCAGATCTACGCTGGACTAATAAATCTCTGAGGTTGCAGATAATGAAATTAATCAGTTACGATATAAATAATAACATTAATACAGTAAACCACATTATGGTTATGAAAAAGCAACTTGGTATCTGGTAATACAGTTTCAATTGGTAGGTTGCTTTTACTCAGACATTACAAACTGCAAGACTCGGTAGTATGGCCCAAATCAAAACAAAACTCACTACATTATGAATGGACAGGTTATATTATTTTTATTTATTCAAATTAACTTCCAAGTATATTGATGAGATCATTGAAATTTCTAATGTCTTTTTCCCATAGAATATGTTTGAACTTTTCAAATGAAGACTAAAGAAGCGACTAAAGTAGATATTATTCAGTAAAAATATAGTAAATATTCTATTTACTGTTAAGGTTTTGGTAATTTACAAGAAATTTGAAGATTCCATAATACCATTGTGATTTATTTGTAATAATCATGAAACAACACTTTTTCCCTAAGTAGTCTTTTCTAAAACCGTACATCAATAAACTTAAGCAGCGCTTTCAAAATATATTTGAAGAAGAATAGAAATCAAAATTAATTATTCAGGTTGTTTAATGTTTACTTTACACTATACATTCACAAATTAAACAATAATTTAAGGGATGGTAACTAATGACACTAATAACTTATTTAACCGGATCATCCAATATGATCAATATGATCAACTTACTGCTCAAGTTAAGCTTAACAAAAACAAATTTATCAAACCCTAGATGAAAAACGTGAAATGTTGAACTTATGACCTTTGTAAAAGAAGAAGTTGAAAGGAAAGGCTAAGAGTTCATTGAACCTGGTGACTCAGACCAGTGTTTGTTTGATAAATGAAAATTTAAAAATAGCGTCGAATGTTCGTTTGGAGTGGCACAGCTTATTTACAGGTTTGCCTCCATAAATATATACATTATCAGAAAGAGTTTCTACACTTTAAACACAGGTCAAACCACTGAATCAGGTTATATTAAAGAATGAAAGAATGCATGAATAAAGTATTGTACCTATGTTGGGTTTGGCAACTTCAACTACTGCAAAGTTGACAATAGGTTGGGCCATTCTTGCCCAGCCACCGAAGTATGCACTGCCATCTTCAGCCTTCCTAGAAAACCGTAAACAATTGATCGTCAGAAAGAATTCCTCGATTCAATCAAAACTACCATCAAACAAACATAGGTATGAAAAAATATTCCTTGAAAAGAAAATATTCTTCATCTACAGAATTTTTAAAGTGACAAAGTGAAAAGATACCATAACCAAATAGTTGCCCATTTTACTGTAAATGAAAAATAGTCTTATAATGAATGAAATAAATAAATTTAAAACTATTAATTTTGTATACAACTTATGGAGGATACAAACAATAAAATACTGTAGTGTAGACCATTGTTTTAGACCAAAAACAATCCAATTATTTATTTTAACTTTATTTTTTGTTAAAAATTCAAAGCTTTAATACATTTTACAAAAGTCAAAACTATTAATTGGATCCCAATTAGTTATGATTGTTGAAGGATAGAATATTAAACATTTAAAGTTCAAAAACTATTTTACATCATTACAAAGACACAGGTACTTTTCCATCTGTATTGATAGGCTGGAAAGTTGCCCTTCGCCGTGCCTACACACGGAAAAGAATGTAATGTACTTTCACATCATACTACACTGTTTTAACAAACTTCCCACACAAGGATTTAGTACAGAAAACAGCTGTTTGCCACCAGCTTAATCAAATGGGGTTTCCTTAAGTACTACTGTACTGTAATGAGTTTTTACCGGACACCAACCAGCTGATTATATTTGGCAAGGAGTGGTTATAAACAAAAACATAACCTCTCTTAGATCTTAGTTCTTTAGTCGGTGGGAATGTAAAAGGATTTGTACAGATTTTTTTATTGTTAAGTTAGCTTAGAGTACTATGGCAAAAAATATCATACATCACTCGTCCAAAATGTGTTTACTGGAATCGTATGGTAATCCCGCACTCGACTTTGTTCCGCACGGGAACGACCACACTCGTCCGGTAAACACCTATTTTCAGGACTAGTAATGTAATGTATTGTTACCATGCACTTAGTCAGCTGATGATTAAACAGCTAATTGCAATGAACTATTGTATTTTCTGAAATATGCAAATATTATAATATTTATGTTATGTCTTAAATAAATTGTGTTATGAGTTTAAAATGTAATAATTATTTTTCTGTGTAGTATGATGTAAAGTATCGTTCGTTACTCGCTCAGTAAGCTTTACCGTACGACTGTCGTGCTCTCACGGTAAAACACCACTTACCGGGCTAGTAACGTAGTATACTATTAAGGTATTGCCAATTAATTAAATAGTAGATAACTAGATTGTCTGTCAATATTTTAGTGGTTTACATCTTAAAATCACACTAATTCCATAAACTATTTATATTAGGACATATTGTAATTAAAACTTACCAAGGGCTTAATCTGCTAATTGCATCCTCGATATCTTGTCTTATTTCATCTGAAACATAAATAAATATGTTTTCACACCAGATCAGAAAAAGAAAACAACTAAAATCAGTAATAATGGAAAATTCATCTTCTCCCAAGTCAAACGATGTAACTTAACACGTTCGCTACTGCAATAGTACGAAATTTTTCATTCAAATGGACCAGCGACGCACATATGCGATGGCCGGTTTCTACCCATAGACTGCCGTCGCATATTTGAGTCGGGGTTCTAATGTTATTAAAATACGTATATCTTTGCAACGGTCTATTTGAAAGCCCTAAAATCACTGCAGTGGTCTACAGGAATGTCTGTCGCATATACGCGTCGCTTGGTCTGTGAATATGATGATTAGTAACGTCATAAGACAGTTGGCAAAACTGTGTTCTCTTTGCTGCATCGCTGTCCACTTGTTGCGCGTATAACCTCAAAGAACGTGAACGTGATTTTGTTTAGTGAGTCTCCGCTCCGTCATGTTTACTTAGTGACTTTTAGTTGTCCAAGTGAGATTCTTTGATAACAAAAACAAAAATGAACTGTCACATATATGCGGCGTTTTTTCTATTTAAAGAAAATTATTAAAAAATTAACTATTGTCATCGCTACAGACCGGGCGTCGCAAATATGCAACATTGCAACATTTTATGAAAAATACAAAAAAACAAGAATAAATTATTTACAAACACGATTGCAGCGTATTACAATGTAAATGATCACTGTTTTACAGGATTTCTCCCGTGGTCTGTGTGTACTGTTAACCAAGTGACAGCCGGTCTATGTGTAAGATTCAAATGTATACCTCGGTCTGTGGCAATAGTAGCAAACGTGTTAATTTCTAAAAATTTATTGTTTGCAAATTAATCAATGTTTAATTAATGTTATGAATGTGAAAGTTTTATTGGATGTTGGCTGATCAATCACGCCTGAACGGCTAAAATATTTTGGTGAAATGTTGTATAGAGATAGATTACAGGCTGAAATAGAACATAGACCAATAATCTATACATATAAAATCCAAAGTATGTTTGTTTGTCCTTTATGGACTCCGAAACCGCTCGACAGATTATAATGAAACTCTCAGGCATTATTAAGCATTATTCAAGGATGGTTTGTGTGAAGTTTGGTGTAGATCCGTCAAAAGGGCTCTGCCCCAGTGGTTCTGAAGTTTCCCATGTTAACCTTATGAGTACTCATATTTAAATGGAATTAAAGAATCTTAACAGCTGGTTCAACTAAACAATTTGATTCTGTGATGTTTAATAGCATTAAAAAGTTATTAGGTTTACCAACAGGGTGCAGCACTATTATTTTTTTTAAATTTATGACAACAGCTAACAACTTGCAACCAAAAGGTGAGTGAGCGTGGCGAACGAACTTCAACCTGGAGGCGAGATAGCGTAGCGAAAGAGCTAACCTGAAGGCAAGTGAGTGCAGCAAATGAGCTCCAACCTAAAGGTGAGTAAGCGTAGCGAACGAACTTCAACCAGGACGTGATTGAGCCATGCAAACGAGCTCATCTTGAAATTGAACGAGCATTTGACATAAAACCACTAGGACATGACGATGTCTGTCGGGCCAGCTAGTTATAAATAAATTTTATTTTATTTTGTTAGATGTAAGACTTTGTCCTAAACCTAAAGCTCGCATGCTTGGCATAAAAGGAAGTTTTTTTTACTGTTATTAAAGGCATTAAGAAGAAAAGTTACAAAGTTTACTCTTAGTTTTCTCACTTTACTCAAATTCTTTAAAAACAATTTTAAATGAAGCTTTGATATTCAATGGGCTCAAGAGCAAAATAACATTAAATAATTAGCTATTAGGCTCACTAATAAAAAATACTTTTATCTTGGAAGCAGCAGTAAGGCATACTAGTTCTTCACATAAACATGTTCAGTATACATAATTGTTATACCATGTAACTCGTAAAAAACCAACTCAACATTTAATTTTGGTGTACTGAAATTGTGAAATTTTAAAGGATCACAGGTGTTAAATTTAAAAACATATTATTACTTACACGTAGACTCAAGTCTGAAGAGATTTAGGTTACGGAGTAAGTAGTCATGTAAGGTTAGGAATTGTAGATTCAACTTGGGCAAGGCTAGGCAGCCTTCACCAGAGAAGTACTCAGTAGGGACGATGTTTTCATTCCAGATGATCTCCTCAGTTGGGTACAGCGGCATGCTGTTGAGTTCCTCAAGCTGAGAAATACGACGCTCATGTCTGGAGACCTACAACACACATTACAATGCCTTAGACATTGCACATAATCTCCTCTGAGGAGTAATCCAAGATATTTAAAAATTCTTTTAATTAGTAAAATTCAGAAACTCATGATCACATTTTAATAGGGTTCAAAACGTTTCTTAAGAAAAACCAACAATTCTACCCTTTCTATTTTCAAAGCATTTATGTTTGTTTGGGACAGTTATTAATTGAATATAACTACTAATAAATCAAAATAACCATAAAAGAGTGATTTACCTCACTTAGATTACAATGATCAATAACAGTAGCCGATTTAAAATCAGTTTTCATAGAAGTCGCCTAAATATTAATTAAACGGAAATGAGGAAAAGCCCTAAAGGAAATTACAAATTTAGTTACCATTAGTTCCTTCACTAGATCATAAGATAAAACAATTATACATCAATGGTATAAATCATTTAAGTACAATGTGTAAAAAAGGTATGTTACAGAGAAACCCCTTATTGTTTAAGTAGGCCTATATAAATTATTTCATGTGATTCGTTGACTTATTTAAATAATCAAAATAATTACCAAAAGCTCTAAAAGAAATTCTGGGTCAGTGCGGAACCAATTTTCCAATTCTTCTTTCTCAGGAGGCGGAACCAAGTTGAGGTAGGTTGCAATTGCACGTAACTTTTCTTGGCTGTAACAATTTTAGTTTGAATTTGTAATTTTTCTTTGATAAAAAAACTTTTAAAAATGAGAACACTTTAAAAATATATTATAAAGGATTTAATAAGATGCAGAGGGAAACATTTGATGTTTCCATTGAATTAGTTGGACTGAGACCTGTATTGGTTAGTACTAGATGTGCTTGGACTTGAGATTATTGACTAAGCCGAGCCTGAATTGTGTTTTTATGTATAATGAATTGGGTGTAATGCCATATAATAAGTTTATCCGTCACAGAATATTCTTTTCTAAAATGCAATTTATCTTATAATGTAGAGTTAAAAATTAGTGTGGTCATAGACTAAGAGTAGTAAAAATAAATATTTAAATAATAAATAACCATTTCAATAATTAACAACTAGGTCAACAATATTGAAATTTCAATTAGGAAACACTAAACTGAAGAGACTATTTAAGTAAAATAATGTATTCTATATTGCATTCAATACAAACCCAAGAGGTCCAAAATGTTTCAGAAGAGCTTCCCGGGTGTCTACACTGGCAACATTGGCTAGAGAGAAGCTGTGCAGGTCAGGGAACTTGGCGAATGCTGCCTTCTGTGAAGATGAAATTGTATTTTAAAAGTACAGTAAATCAAGTTTAAACAAAGAAACATGAAGACGGAAATTAACAAAAAACTGGACCAAAATGTCGAAAAACCATTCATATTTTTTATTATGTAGTTAGAATAGTCAAACTACAAATCAATAAAAATATAGGTACCTTACCACAAGGTGCTTTCATTTGATTGTTCACAACATGTTTCACTTCAATTGTAGAATCAGTAGAAGTTATTATATATTTAATGGATATTTATGTCTCACTTCTTGGCCTAGTGATCGAGCTTGGGACTTCAATCCCCAAGGTCCTGGGTTCAAACCCCTCCAATCACCAATGTATTTTATCCAAGTGATAATGTCGCAACTCTCAAGGTCTAGCCTTAAGTAGGTACAGTAATGTGAAAAGATGGTTCTGAGTTAGAGCGAGTGTCCTAGATGTGAAGGCGGAACGTAAAAAACCCTTCACATCCTAGGACACTAGGTTCTAGCAAGGAATCGTTTTACACGTTGCTTTAGGCCTAGAGGTTGTGGTAAAAATCAATTGGTAATTTGCGGGATTTGAACCTGGGACTTCTGGGACTGAGTCCTGCACTCTATCACTAGACCAGCTCGCTCCCCATAGTGCCCATTAAATATTTTGCTATTTGCTCTGGCACATGCACATCATTCCTAGAGAAGGAAGGGTAGAGAGAAACACATACAGTATCCTTAAAACACTTCCTCGTTGTACCATTTCTGTTACATCTCACTCAAGTACAGCAATAAACTGCAAGTAACTACTTAGCAGTAGTGTCATAATGGCTACACTATTCTGTGCTAACAGCTACTCTAGTAAAACAGTTTAGTGTCTATTGTTGGCTAAGCAGATGTGGTATAATGAGCAGTTTTTACCTGTAGAGAGGTGATGCTGTTGTAATGTATCTGAGTCATGTCATGATCAGTCAGCGGGTCTCCAGTCTCATCACTGATCTCGAACCTCGAGTAGAACTTGAGTACGTCCAGCAACTGCAACAATCATTGCCAACTTAGCATAATTGTAACGACCAAACACTGTATATAACTAACTGTTCCAAGTTACTAAAGGTCAAGGCAAGCATAGGGGCGGTGTCTTCTCCTATCAAACCGGGAATGTTTAGATTTTGGGGATCACAAAAGGGTGCTGATATATTAAGGGTGTGCTCCACCTCAGCTCGGAAATCTCAGCTCAGGCTTCAGTAGCTATGTTGCGCCATTGAACAGCGCTGCGAGAAGAGCTTGCAGAGGTTTCCAAGATTCCTTTTTTCGAATTAACCAATAATGATAGCTACACCAATAAACAGCCAATAAATGACTTATAGTAGTCTATAATTCTTTGTTTTTCAAATAAAGTTTTTTTAATAAGTTAGGGCTGACTAGTTGAAAATACCTTATTTCTTGTCCTACGACTCAAATTTATAAGGGGTGTATTAAAAAGTGCTTATCAAGTTGAAATGAACTGTAAAATACAAAGATCCAAACTATGCCCTGGATGAACTAAAACTCCGTAATTGTTCCTTTAAGTATTTACAAAATCATTTTGAAAATCCTTAAATTAGCCTTTTTTACATGTGATTTTAGCTTCTAAATAATAGCTTTGACTAACCAATAGTGAATGATAATAGTTTATCCCACATTCATTTATACCTATCCATTGCAAGCTCTGATATAACAAGAGCGCACAAAGCACACAATCATTGGAAACAGATTAGTGTTGAGAGCCCTTACCATAGAGGCATGTTTAGCTGAAACATTAGCTTAGCATGTTTAGCCTTAGCCGCCATCTTGAATTGACCCTCATAAAGTATACACTACTACATACACTACTGTATTTTGTTTAGAATTATAGGAACCATAAGATTCTAATTTTAATCAAAACCAGATTTTTTTAAATCCAACTTTCATAAGTTACAATATAACTTATGAAGCGTAATTTTTACAACAATGGAAGTAATACACAATTTTTTCAGAATTTAAAGGACTAAAACATCAAAATCCATACATAAATCATTTGGTAATTTTCAAGATAATTTGATTTTTCCGTTATTTTATGGGTGTTTATGGAAAATATAAATTTCAAAACAGTGGAATAAATGCTTGGAGATACCATGGATTACCTACATACTAAATTTAATCAAAATCAGACTACAAGTGTGGTCTATATCTCTGTACACATCCACACACAAAGACAGACATCACTTCCAAAACCACTTTTTGGGTTCATATATCCACTCAAAACTCAAACTAAAAAATTTTGAAAAAAACTATAATTTCTCCATATAATATACTAATAGTGGGAGAAAGAAAAATTGTAAGTTTTAAAGACCCATGCTATTCTTTTGGAAAAACTGTAGCTTGTTTATAAATATATTTTGATAAAACTTGGTCATTTTTTAATAGTAGGTAAGCAATTAATATTTTACAAAAAACCCCACTTTATGACCCTCCATGAAGCAGCGGCTAATTACTCGTTAAACCTAATGTTATTTAAGGAAATAAATAAATCTGACAAGTTGAAGGCAATAATTAAGTATTAAAAAGCTTCACTTCAACCAGGCAAATGACAATTCACTTTGTTTGCAGGTTTGCTGCGGCGGGGGTATCTTTGGATTTTACCAACCGATCTTTATGAAAAGTGGTATAATCAAGGCAACTTGCTTTTATAATTCATGTATGTGAAGGTAGAAGAGACCTTTGTTTGTAAAAAATTGTAACTAAGTTAAGCAAGTTATGGCAGCCATAAAATTTTTATAATTTGAATTAGCTACTTAAGTGGTTGATGTAGGTAATTAAAAATGTCAAAAACTATTTTATTTAGCATTTAATATTTTCTTTCACCAAAATATTGAATAAACAAATAGCTGAAATATGTTTTTTTTTTTACACAAGGGACAATTCCAGGGTTTTTCAGGTTCAAAATACAACATTTCCAGGACGAAACTTGCCACAAAAAAAAAGAGAAAACTTACTTGTTCATACCTGCTAGTTAACTTAAACCCCGCCTTTGAATTCCGTGATAATTTTTTGCAATAGCAGCCACATCAGTGATCATGTCTTTCGATTGCAACAACATTTGAGATAAATTCCTGAAATTGCAGCAACATCTGTGATGATTTCCCGCGATCGCGGCAACAACTGTAATGATTTCCCGCGATCGCGGCAACATCTGTAATGATTTCCCGCGATCGCGGCAACATCTGTAATGATTTCCCGCGATCGCGGCAACATCTTTAATGATTTACCGCGATCGCGGCAACATTTGTAATGATTTCCCGCGATCGTGGCAACATCTGTAATGATTTTCCGCAATCACAGTAACATCCGTAATGATTTCCGACGATCGCGGCTACAACCATGATGATTTCCCGCGGTCGTGCCAACATCCGTGATGATTTCCTCCGATCGCGGCTACAACCGTGATGATTTTCGGCGATCCGTGATATTTCCCACGATCGCGGCAACATTTGTAATGATTTTCCGCAATCGCAGTTACATCCGTAATGATTTCCGACGATCGCGGCTACAACCATGATGATTTCCCGCGGTCATGCCAACATCCGTGATGATTTCCTCCGATCGCGGCTACAACCGTGATGATTTTCGGCGATCCGTGACATTTCCAACGATCGCGACAACATCCGTGATGATTCTTACAATCGCGGCAACAGCCCTCAATCGACGAAACGGCCTTGATCATTTATCAATTTTTTGATTTAGCAAATATTTAAGATAAATCCCATGGCCATGGAAAACATCGTCATCGTCGTCGGGTTAATCCTGATCATGTCCTCGGATAATCCGACCTTTTCACTGTTCCGGCCACGGTCCCAGTCGCGTAGATAACGCACAAATCCATTGTACTGAAGCTTCTTCCCTAAAGGGGAAATTCGCTAAAATATGGGTCCTACTACAGTCGTCCTATATGTGCGTGGTGTTGATGGGAGCAGGGGGTGGAGTTGGTGGTGTGGGACCACGGGAATATCCTCATACAACCACAGTGTTTTGTGTCCTACAGTGGTCGTGGTGTAGTGTGAGGTGCGTGGTGTAGAGGGGAGCAGGGGGGTGGAGTTGGTGGTGTGGGACAGCGGGAATATCCTCATACAACCACAGTGTTTGTGTCCTAAAGTGGTCGTGGTGTAGTGTGAGGTGCGTGGTGTAGAGGGGAGCAGGGGGAGGAGTTGGTGGTGTGGGACCGCGGGAATATCCTCATACAACCACAGTGTTTTGTGTCCTACAGTGGTCGTGGTGTAGTGTGAGGTGCGTGGTGTAGAGGGGAGCAGGGGGGTGGAGTTGGTGGTGTGGGACAGCGGGAATATCCTCATACAACCACAGTGTTTTGTGTCCTACAGTGGTCGTGGTGTAGTGTGAGGTGCGTGGTGTAGAGGGGAGCAGGGGGGAGGAGTTGGTGGTGTGGGACCGCGGGAATATCCTCATACAACCACAGTGTTTTGTGTCCTACAGTGGTCGTGGTGTAGTGTGAGGTGCGTGGTGTAGAGGGGAGCAGGGGGGTGGAGTTGGTGGTGTGGGACAGCGGGAATATCCTCATACAACCACAGTGTTTTGTGTCCTACAGTGGTCGTGGTGTAGTGTGAGGTGCGTGGTGTAGAGGGGAGCAGGGGGGTGGAGTTGGTGGTGTGGGACCACGGGAATATCCTCATACAACCACAGTGTTTTGTGTCCTACAGTGGTCGTGGTGTAGTGTGAGGTGCGTGGTGTGGAGGGGAGCAGGGGGGTGGAGTTGGTGGTGTGGGACAGCGGGAATATCCTCACCCTCATACAACCACAGCGCTTGTGTCCTAAAGTGGTCGTGGTGTAGTGTGAGGTGCGTGGTGTAGAGGGGAGCAGGGGGAGGAGTTGGTGGTGTGGGACAGCGGGAATATCCTCATACAACCACAGTGTTTGTGTCCTAAAGTGGTCGTGGTGTAGTGTGAGGTGCGTGGTGTAGAGGGGAGCAGGGGGAGGAGTTGGTGATGTGGGACCACGGGAATATCCTCACCCTCATACAACCACAGCGCTTGTGTCCTCCTACAGTGGTCGTGGTGTAGTGTAGTGTGAGGTGCGTGGTGTAGAGGGGAGCAGGGGGGAGGAGTTGGTGGTGTGGGACAGCGGGAATATCCTCATTCAACCACAGTGTTTGTGTCCTAAAGTGGTCGTGGTGTAGTGTGAGGTGCGTGGTGTAGAGGGGAGCAGGGGGAGGAGTTGGTGGTGTAGGACAGCGGGAATATCCTCATACAACCACAGTGTTTGTGTCCTAAAGTGGTCGTGGTGTAGTGTGAGGTGCGTGGTGTAGAGGGGAGCAGGGGGAGGAGTTGGTGATGTGGGACCACGGGAATATCCTCACCCTCATACAACCACAGCGCTTGTGTCCTCCTACAGTGGTCGTGGTGTAGTGTAGTGTGAGGTGCGTGGTGTAGAGGGGAGCAGGGGGGAGGAGTTGGTGGTGTGGGACCGCGGGAATATCCTCATACAACCACAGTGGCACAGTGTTTGTGTCCTCACCACTCCAGCCTCACTCACGGTTGTCCATCTCGTTTTTGGATTCAATATCATGTGTACGTATACAATCAATGTCTTAAGACTTGAGAATTGGTATTATTGATGTTTTAGTTTACCAGTTACGTGTTTTCACTTCGTTCAGGATGGTCTTCGGTTTTAACCTTTTTGGCGTTTGGTAGATTTTTCGAAGTTAAATTTCGCATGAATTTCAGTGCAAGTTACAGCTTTTGTTTTAGAAGTATTTATTACAGTATTATAAACTGTTTTCAATCTCTAATAAAGGTTGCTTGATTTTGGAACGTGTAATGTCTTTTAATTTTAATAGTATAAATTTTATTTCAGAATGATTGTTAAAAGTATGCTTAATCTTTTATCGACAGACATTTAAACAATGATATTGATTTCAAACATAATCCAATAACACGAAATGGCATTGTGTTTACTGGAGAGACCACGTTGTAAACAATGTTGTCGACAAATTTGATCACATAGTGTAATAGGAGGAATAAATAAAAGTGAACAAAAACACTGAAATGAAGGAAAACTCAGAACAATTAATAGTGGTAAAATCTTCAGATCACCTTTTCAATATGATACGATGGAGGGTCGTTAAACATTAATTATATAACATGAATAAAATTATTGTGTATATTATTGTAAATACAAGTATAATAACAGAATAAACCAAAATAGCCAAAAACTTCAACCTTACAAGTGACTCAAACATTCAGTTCTTGTGGCAAATAGGCTGACAAGTATAATAATACAATTTAAGAAACTGCTATAGCCAACAAGTTTTTAAATCATTAATTACCGGTAATCATGTGGCATTGTAGGACGGATTGAGATTGATAGATTTAGGATAATAAAGAAATTTAGAATTTGAACTAACTTTTTGGAAGTAGCACTTGTACATTTCGTCTTCTTTTTATAAAATCTGATCTAGCCCAGTTTATTGATGTGGTGACCACTTGACAATGTGGTAGGCTTCTCGGAAGTGATTGTTTGGTGTGTTGTGTGTATAATGGTACAGGGCAATGGCCGGACTGGAGAAAGTCTGTTCGGGAAATCCGCATAAACTCTGAATAATAGATCAGTCACAACGCCACACGAAATGCCACCTTAATATCTGGGAAATGAACCGCTCTTTAATTTAATATTCCTCCAATTATACCCGTAAATACCAAATTAATCATCCTACGTGATAAGGCGACGTCTTCACAATCACTGACCATTCATGCTTGTCAGCGCTTTTAATTGAGATATATGACGTAGAAAATATGCTGAAACTCTCCTACTGATATAGTTCCGGGGATGTTATCTTTTGTTCGGGATTGTTATATTTTGACATTTTGACTGTGCCAAGTCAGTTGTTCATTTATTCGATTTATCAGAGAAAAACTATTTACTTAAGTCGGTCTATATAGGCCCTTAGCAATTATGGAAGATAACAAAATTGGTAGTGCTGATGAAAGTTCAGAAGATTATGCGTGTGTTTAAGCCAACGTTTAAGCCGTCTCTGAATTAAAACCCAGTAGCTCGGCCGCTTAGAAAACGACCTGCGCGCTAATGCTAATCCAATGCTGGAGGAGGTCGTTTTCTAAGCGGCCGAGCTATAGTTTAAGAGCCTGTTGACATTTAGATGATTTCATCTATCGTGTGATATGGTATAGATAGCACATTACAGTATAGTAAGCATTTTTATAGATGAGATGTAAGCATAATAAGGTAGTTGTTGAATTGTTCGAACACGTTATAATCAATTCGACCTAAATATGCTAGCTCAGATACTGATATCACTAAGAATAAATTTTATATCATGTTTCGACCACAATAAGATTACGATAAATCAATCGCACAAATCGCATCACAGTGGACGGTCAACTGTACAGTACTATGAAATGAAATGAAAATCCTTCTTCATTGGGGACCTCATATGGCCATTTCTTACAGTTAACCTCTACAATGAAGTTCATGTGAAATTTATATAAGAGGTGATCATATTTCTAACTACTTATGCAAATTTTAATTGAGTCAACATTAATATTCTCTCAGCAGATCGTCTCGTGAGTAGAAGTCATCTGTGGCTGTAGGCGACCGGCGAACATCTGCGAGACTGTCAACTGTCTCTGTACATGCCTAATTGCCCCTAAAAAATGCGTTATAACTAATGATACTAATTTGTTTATACACGCAAAGGAATTTTATAATGAGAACACCAATCATGATGGGTGTTCACGGAGCTTATACGGCACATGTTGGATTATGTCAAGGGAACAACTATAAACAATAATTTAAATAAGCCATATTACGAACCTCGATTACTAATCCTTTTATTTTGCTTTAAGTATGACATCACTTGGTTTAAATACTGCTACCAACATGGAAAGACGTATATAAACGCGTTTAACTTGTATATCAGTACGTAGTGAAGTATGTGCATTCACATTCCTTAGAACACGAGGTATGTCTTATCAGCGGCTACGTGAGGCGCTAAACTGCTGAACTGACAACTGCTGCGCGAGGCTCAACCGGGCATCATTCACAACTCTTACATTCCATACTTACAAACTGTTGAAACAACAAACAGCAAATATATATACTTAAGTAAATAATTGCCATTTACTTGAGCTCTAAAACCCTAAGTAACCAAACGCTAACTAAATTAAAAGTACAGTACAGTACCAACATTTTGTAGCCTAACAGCTAACTAGCATTACAACTACGACTCGTAGTTGGTACGTAGTTTACTTGGTTGTAGTTTACTACAAATGGTAAACTATATTATCTAACGAGTTACTAATCACTTTTAATATTCAGTTTAAGAACAGTAAATCAAAATTAATTGCAACTACACACCTTTTTCTGTCAATGTCAGTTCATGTTTGAAACATAACATTTCAGTCATAGTACAATTTTCACTCATATCTTGGATTATTAAGTTATATGGAAATTAAATATTCAGAATGGTCAGTTTGTCTACACTTTACCCGAACCCGTGTACAGCGATAATCTAATACCTATATTTTAGTATAGTATATTCAAAGTGAGGAACTGATAGGAAAACTTGGTAGTTGTGTGTACTCAGTCGAGTAGCCTATATTAATTGTCAGAAGAAGACCTAATCGCCGTACTGCCTTGTGGCTGTGTTATCATCAGACACAGATGAGGTCGGGCTAGCCTGGCATGCTCATGCTTCATTGCTTATGCGACACCAGAAACTTATCAATAGGACAATATTGGCGTTTTGATAATAAAAACGGTCAATGTAAGTGAAAAACAGGGCGAGACTTTATGTTAAGCAACCCTACCGGTTTAAAAACATTACTTACTAAGTCGACTTCTTATTGTATTAAAGTAAGTCTATATTTCTATGGAGAAAGACAGTCACTGAAGAGCTTCGTAGATTCAATTTTTTAAGAACTTTATAATGTGAAATGTTGCAATATACTTTTGATTAAAACTCGGAGGGAACCACTCCTCATTTCACGGTTGTACTTAAAATACTAAACAACGCATGTCTTTCTTTTGGAAATCTAGTTTATTCAAAACATTAACTGTGATATAAAAAAGTATGTCAGGACAAGTAGTATATCAGTGATCACAATAATTTGAAAGTCAAAGATAAATGACTAAATAAATATCGATGACGACGACGATCCCTGTTAATCGAATTCGTGTTAACCTAAATGGTTCTATAAAATAATATAGGGCTGTAAAATGCTTGAATAACTTCAGTTGTCAGGTTTAAAGTATTTTCTATCCCATTGTAACATTTTTGTAGCTGAAATAAAACACTGAATTATATAGACATTCTCTTAAATTAATTTTTCCTACACACTGTGGTGATACATTGGCTATTGATGGGTTAACCGAAAAATTTGTTATCCGAAACGTCTCTCCCCCCCTTTATTTCGGTTAACCGGGGTTTAGTGCTGGGATTAATTTTCACAGACTCGGTTAGGATTACCAGACTGTATCGACTGTTGTTATCATAAGTCTGTGTTTGTAAACATCAGAACCTCATGGTCAAGGTGAACGACGTAGAGCGACATTTACCAGTCCCCCCTCCACCCCCACCACCTTAACAAGTAACTACACACCATCAGCAAGCAGCATTAGCCAAATATACACCTAGATTAACAACTCAGTATAATATCCCGGGATTTATTCTTTTTCAATTTGTTGACACATAATAATTCAGCCCTTAAAATCATTTTGATCTATTATCGTATTTTAATGAGAAATAGCTGATCCAACATAAACAAAACCTTGCAAAAAATATGCTAATTTCAGTTGGAACCAAAACAGTCAAATCCGTACGTCGTCTATTGACGAAGAGAGCGAACATACAAATCCAAGAAACGGAAACATGGCAGTAAACAGTACAGGTAGATTGCAAACAAAAACAGCATTTAGCACCTCTCGTGTAGACGAAGTTTTTTTTATTAGAGTACTGAAAACTTAAAAATAAGCTGATAAAGCATTAAATGAGGTTTTCAAAACAATTTTAAAGCAATCAACTTGATATAAATAAAATATACCCACACAACACATACTACATGTGTTGTCAGAGAACGGTTTGAAAAGTGTAGTCATTTATGTCGGGGGTCACCTGATATTATAGCCTATTCAGTTCAGATATTGTATAACAAAATAAACCACCAGCCACTTTCTACATTGATTAAAAAATTTAAATAATTAAGAATTCTATAAGTGTAATTTATGATTTTGTAAAAGATAATTTTATAAATCTTTAATGGCAATTAACTTTATAAACAATATTTACTCAAAGTTTTCTATATTCTACTACCAACTTATCACGTACCCTAACTGTAAAAGGGGTGCATCCAATTTACAGAAAGTTAATTGAAAATAAGTCTAAAAACATATATTTACACTTATACTGTTACACTGTATACTTTATATATACAAGCATTGACTATTGGATACAAGATGGTCCAACGAAATTGAATACCACTTTTATGTATACTTAACATCTTGTCAGTTAACAGTTTGAAGTGTAAATAAATTATTTAAATGTTAATCAACACGTCCAGTGTTTATTAAGGAATTATCCAATTTAAGATAAGATTTTCCCATGTGTTAACACTGTACTACGGCAGACAAAAATAATTAAACATTTTAGTTTTAGATCCGGAGGCTAAACAACTATTTAAACAATTTTTAGTTTTACACTTTAACAGATAAAACATTGTTTATACGGTCAATTATTGGCAGGGCTCCTGTTGTGGGTGTTGGTGCCTCTTTTGCTGGGCACAGCCCGGGGGTTACCTTGCTGTTCTGGCGACTACGAGATGATTCACATAGAGAATGCCGTCTACTGTTCAGACTTCAACAGTCTTATCACAGTATACAAGTGGTGTGACGTCATCCTACTAGTGGACCCACAAACTCTCAACAAGGGAGAAGTATTTTTAGAAAACCCTTTGAAAACAGAGTACACCCTGGACAACCAAACATGGGATGAGAAGTAAGTACTGGTTTCTGACAAACTAACTAACAAATTGTAAATTAATTTCCAGATTAGACGTTATTTGTATTAAGTTAAAGTTTAAATATGAACTAAAAGCGAAATGAAAATAGTTATTGAACGGCTGGGCTGGTACATCCCTGATGGGTTTAAAACATTTTTGTTCTGATTTGAGAACATTCGCTATATAGAAATTGATATTTTTTATCGACGTTTAATTAACATTATTTTAATGTTTCATGCTTTTATATAGTTAAAACTTAACAATTTGCTTCATTTCACAGATACAGCAGAAACATGCTCTGTCAGCTCATACTGCAGTACCTATTGAATGTGTCAATGTTGATCAGGTCAATCTCATGCCACTTAAAACATCACTTAGGTGGTTTTTATTGTCTGTTGATGTTAAAAATTGGTCGATTGTAAGCAATGTTATATTTAAAGTATTGTAAAATAAAAGAAAAATTGACACCATAAATTGTTGTGAAAAACTAAACCAAACTGAGGCCATAGCCCTGTACAAGGCCCCACTATAGGATTTATTCATCAATGTGTCTTGTTATGTCTTTCAACACAACAAGTCTGCATTTTAACCAAAATAAAAACAATTGTTTCCTTTGTCTACACTACAATAAAAATAAGCAAAAAAATGTTGTGTACAATCCCTATTAAATTGACTAATGCCATTAACTTCTACCTAAGGCAGGGCCCTTCCAATGACTCAGCCCACAATAGTAAGTTTATTATGGATTGCCCTCGGGATAAAATCAAACTGACACATAATTTACACATAGTATGGATCATATTGCCTGTTAATTAATATTGTTGTCAATTAATATATTCTCTTCAACTAGTATTTAATATGTAGTCAAGATTGCGCTGGACTCTATTATTATTATTGGTCACTTTCTTGGCAAAACATTCCCCCTATGCTCGTAAAGTAAAAGTATATTTATATCTGGTTTAAAGAGTTTACTATTTTAAAATATAATTTAAGCAGCAAATATTAACATAGATGAAACATAATCCATCCATGGTATTAAGTACCAAGCAGAGGCAAGCAATATCAGTTTTGTCAATATTTGAATTAATTTTTTAAGGAAGGATACTTCATTAAAAGTTTTATTTTTATTTTTATTTGACAAGTATTAAGATGATCTGTACATTTTAGGTACTGCACTGGGACATTCTCAAAGAATTTCTCATTAGCTACTGATAAGTCAATGGTGAATACAACTAATAAGGTGAGTATACTGTACTTGTATAATGGTCCCTGATACACAAAAGTTGCTTAAGGAAAGATAATTCCTGCAATAATAATCAAGTATTGTTGAACAAAATACTACTACTACTACTATTAGTACTACTACTACCATGGCCAAGTATACCCAAGTGGTATTTGGCCTTGCCAACAAGTTGCCTCCCTCTCTCACCATCTTCCAAATCTTCTTGCCTTGCTCTAAATTTTCTTTATCTGATCCTTCCTGCGATTCTTGGGTCTTTCTCGGGGTCTTCTTCCAGCAGGGGTTTGCCTCCAAACTTCTTTAATTAGTTTCCGATCTTCTCTCCTAAATACCCACCTTAGTCTTCTGCTCTTTGCTTTTCCTACTATATCTGGGGAATGGAATATTTCTCCGAATTCTTAGTTGTGCCTAATTCTCTATCCTTTTCCCTCTTTAACAGGTCCAAATATTTTCCTCAAAATTCTATTTTCAAATTCAACCAACTTCTATTCGGTTTGTTTATCTTATAAACCATATCTCCCCTCCATAAAAAAGGATAGTCTTGTATACTCTTAATTACGTTTTGTTTGACAGTAATTATGATTTCAAAATGTTGTTCAATGCATACATGCTTCTATTTGCCAAATTATTACATTTTGAATTTCAATTTCCTATTGCACCCAGGTATTTGAACTCCTCAACAAACTTATGGTTTAGTACTTGAAACATTTCTAAGATGTATATCTATCTGTTGTCCTGATGACAGACAGTGGCCATGATCTGCTCGACTGAGGATGATGTCCAACACTACTCACTGTACGCCACTTGTCTACTCATATCTTCTGTGTTCCTGCTGGCCACTGTAGTCATATACCTGTGGCTGCCAGAACTGAGAGATCTACAAGGCAAATGCGTCTTGTGCTTCATTTTCAGTCTAATGATTGGCTACATCTGCCTTGTCTACCTACAACTGCCTTCTAGTTCACCAGATTTGCATCAAACTGACTGTATAGTTATCGGTGAGTTACACTGAATTTCATAAATTGTGCGTTGGACATTAAAACAGAATTTTATTGAGTTTTGGATCTTTATCTAAAATGTTATACAGAGAAATAGATTATACAGTAAGACTTAGCTATTTTAGGCTTCATGGTGGGACTTTGCTCAGAACGAATGTATTATTTATCAAGGGTCCCCAGGATTTAAAGGCATCATTGTCTTTTGAGATCAATATGGATGGGAAATGCAAGGTTTAAAAAGACCACCAACCTATTTAAAAAAATGAAGGAATCCTCTAAATACATAGGTAATTTATATTTACAGTTTTTTTTTTCATCAGCAATTACGTTCACGTAAGATTGATAATATATGATTTGCGTGGATTTTTAAAGTGTGATTTCTTGAATGATTTTCTGATTTTTGCTTGCAGCATTCTTGACATATTTTTGGATGATGAGTGCCTTCTTTTGGCTGAATATCAATTCGTTCAATATGTGGCGTTCCGCAGTGTAAGTATTTGAAAACTCATTTATATAGTTTTTTATTTTTTCTGATTACAAGACTTTGGTAGTTATTATAATAGTTTTGACTTTTTTTTTAATCAATGTTTATCTAAAAGGTAAACGTATAAAACTTAACTCCTGAAACACAATTAAGTCAATTTTTAGTCCTCATATAAATTGAGATAAAGACTGGTGCATAAAGATTCCTCATTTGTGTGAATAATATTTTTCAGATTGGTTCTGTTTCCTGTGTGTAGCATTAGTCACTCATAATCTACCTGGTGACATTAACATACACCACCTGGTGATGTTTTACAGGTTGGCTCATATTAACATGTCCGAGCACAGACTAATGTTTGGTTACCATATGGCTGGCTGGGGAGCTCCTTTCTGTTTCCTGTGTGTAGCATTAGTCACTCATAATCTACCTGGTGTGATTATCGGACACCACCTGGTGATGTTTTACAGGTTGGCTCATATTAACATGTCCGAGCGCAGACTCATGTTTAGTTACTATGTGGCTGGCTGCGGAGTTCCTCTCTGTTTCCTGTGTGTGGCATTAGTCACTCATAATCTACCTGGAGATGTTTTGCAGGTTGGCTCATATTAACATGTCCGAGCGCAGACTCATGTTTGGTTACTATGTGGCTGGCTGCGGAGTTCCTCTCTGTTTCCTGTGTGTGGCATTAGTCACTCATAATCTACCTGGAGATGTTTTGCAGGTTGGCTCATATTAACATGTCCGAGCGCAGACTCATGTTTGGTTACTATGTGGCTGGCTGAGGAGCTCCTCTCTGTTTCCTGTGTGTAGCATTAGTCACTCAAAATCTACCTGGAGATGTTTTGCAGGTTGGCTCATATTAACATGTCCGAGCGCAGACTCATGTTTGGTTACTATGTGGCTGGCTGAGGAGGTCCTCTCTGTTTCCTGTGTGGGGCATTAGTCACTCATAATCTACCTGGAGATGTTTTGCAGGTTGGCTCATATTAACATGTCCGAGCGCAGACTCATGTTTGGTTACTATGTGACTGGCTGAGGAGGCCCTCTCTGTTTCCTGTGTGGGGCATTAGTCACTCATAATCTACCTGGAGATGTTTTGCAGGTTGGCTCATATTAACATGTCCGAGCGCAGACTCATGTTTGGTTACTATGTGGCTGGCTGCGGAGTTCCTCTCTGTTTCCTGTGTGTGGCATTAGTCACTCATAATCTACCTGGAGATGTTTTGCAGGTTGGCTCATATTAACATGTCCGAGCGCAGACTCATGTTTGGTTACTATGAGGCTGGCTGAGGAGCTCCTCTCTGTTTCCTGTGTGTAGCATTAGTCACTCAAAATCTACCTGGAGATGTTTTGCAGGTTGGCTCATATTAACATGTCCGAGCGCAGACTCATGTTTGGTTACTATGTGGCTGGCTGAGGAGGTCCTCTCTGTTTCCTGTGTGGGGCACTAGTCACTCATAATCTACCTGGAGATGTTTTGCAGGTTGGCTCATATTAACATGTCCGAGCGCAGACTCATGTTTGGTTACTATGTGGCTGGCTGAGGAGGCCCTCTCTGTTTCCTGTATGGGGCATTAGTCACTCATAATCTACCTTGAGATGTTTTGCAGGTTGGCTCATATTAACATGTCCGAGCGCAGACTCATGTTTGGTTACTATGTGGCTGGCTGAGGAGGTCCTCTCTGTTTCCTGTGTGGGGCATTAGTCACTCATAATCTACCTGGAGATGTTTTGCAGGTTGGCTCATATTAACATGTCCGAGCGCAGACTCATGTTTGGTTACTATGTGGCTGGCTGAGGAGGTCCTCTCTGTTTCCTGTGTGTAGCATTAGTTACCCAAAATCTACCTGGAGATGTTTTGCAGGTTGGCTCATATTAACATGTCCGAGCGCAGACTCATGTTTGGTTACTATGTGGCTGGCTGAGGAGGTCCTCTCTGTTTCCTGTGTGTAGCATTAGTCACTCAAAATCTACCTGGAGATGTTTTGCAGGTTGGCTCATATTAACATGTCCGAGCGCAGACTCATGTTTGGTTACTATGTGGCTGGCTGAGGAGGTCCTCTCTGTTTCCTGTGTGGGGCACTAGTCACTCATAATCTACCTGGAGATGTTTTGCAGGTTGGCTCATATTAACATGTCCGAGCGCAGACTCATGTTTGGTTACTATGTGGCTGGCTGAGGAGGCCCTCTCTGTTTCCTGTGTGGGGCATTAGTCACTCATAATCTACCTTGAGATGTTTTGCAGGTTGGCTCATATTAACATGTCCGAGCGCAGACTCATGTTTGGTTACTATGTGGCTGGCTGAGGAGGTCCTCTCTGTTTCCTGTGTGGGGCATTAGTCACTCATAATCTACCTGGAGATGTTTTGCAGGTTGGCTCATATTAACATGTCCGAGCGCAGACTCATGTTTGGTTACTATGTGGCTGGCTGAGGAGGTCCTCTCTGTTTCCTGTGTGTAGCATTAGTCACCCAAAATCTACCTGGAGATGTTTTGCAGGTTCTCTCATATTAACATGTCCGAGCGCAGACTCATGTTTGGTTACTATGTGGCTGGCTGAGGAGGTCCTCTCTGTTTCCTGTGTGTAGCATTAGTCACCCAAAATCTACCTGGAGATGTTTTGCAGGTTGGCTCATATTAACATGTCCGAGCGCAGACTCATGTTTGGTTACTATGTGGCTGGCTGAGGAGGTCCTCTCCGTTTCCTGTGTTTAGCATTAGTCACTCAAAATCTACCTGGAGATGTTTTGCAGGTTGGCTCATATTAACATGTCCGAACGCAGACTCATGTTTAGTTACTATGTGGCTGGCTGGGGAGCTCCTCTCTGTTTCCTCTGTGTAGCATTAGTCACTCATAATCTACCTGGTGTGATTATCAGACACCACCTGGTGATGTTTTGCAGGTTGGCTCATATTAACATGTCCGAGCGCAGACTCATGTTTGGTTACTATGTGGCTGGCTGGGGAGCTCCTCTCTGTTTCCTGTGTGTAGCATTAGTCACTCATAATCTACCTGGTGATATAATTAGACCCAACTTTGGCATCACCTCCTGCTGGTTTCCTGGTAAATTTCTAGAGATATTTTCACAAATATAACATTATAGCCTTGATTTACTGCCAGTTTAAACTCTGGTGAAAAAGGCCATAATTCTTGCATTACTTGACAATCAATATACCATGACAGTCAGATTATTTAAGATAACACTCTTTCCCTTCTAATACTGCAAATGTTCTCCTTATAAAGACAACATTTATTGTCTACTTACTTACCCTTCTTAATTTTAGTTACAGTTACAACTTCATGTCTAGCTTTACCTTACTATAAATAACAAATGGTTTAACTCGTTTACTAATGTAAGAGTAGTTAGTCAGACAAAATATCTAGGAAAAGATACATTTGGGTGGTTAAGGTTTGAGTTAGAGTTAGTCAGTTGCAAACCATGGGGAGATCCAATAATGTTCCAACATTTGTTTCAAATATTAATAAATCTTCAGCACGATTACTGTTTCTTTTAAACCAGAATCAATCATTAAACCTGTGATCATTCTAATGTGGAGGGGAGAATTAAGATTGTTATATTTATGGTTAAATATGTTGCTGATTATTTCTGTGGAGAATGGATACAGCTACAGTGGTGTGTGTGGGAAGGGTCTGAATATAATTGCTTTGCAAAGTTGTTGGTTAGAACAAAAATAGCCACAAACTCGACACAACAAAACAATAACTAAACTGTTTATGCTCAGTAGTTAACCATGTCTATAATTATTTAGTTCAAAGCCTTGCTTTACAATGGCAAAGTCCAATAATGATTTATGTTTATTGTTGTGAGGAAACACAACCATTAAGCCTTTTATAACTTTACTGAAAAATATTTCCCAGATCTAGGAATTTTCTATTTAAACAAATGAACATAAAATTATAATACTTCTATAGTGTACCACCAAACAAGAATTTCATGCAAAACTTTCACAAAAAGGTAGCAGTCAAAAAATATTTATTTCTGAAAGGAAGAAAGCTACTACTATTTCGAATTTGGGTACACTAAGGCTCGGCATTAGAGTGTTGTTTAGTTAAACCTTACAAGTTAGGAAAATAACCAACTAATGAGCATTAGTCTACTGAAAATCATGTTTATCCTTACTGTAACAGTAAGGACAAAATGAACAAATTTTTGTTCATTTGCTGAACGTAGAGCCCACAACAAATACTTTTACTCTCTGGGAATAAGTTGCTGCTAAATAAATAACATACATATTTGGGCTTTCTTTGAAAATTGCATTAATCACTACCATATTATCACAGTTTGGAAAGGTTATTAGTAACCTGTAAACATAGCAAGTGTGTTTTGGAGACTTTATCTTCAACTGGTAATTAATAATCAGCTTGCATTTCGCAGATATGAGGCTACACAAAGCAGGTCTTTCATTTCACAGTTATATATAATTCATCAGCTGTCTAAGTGTAAAAACATACAGACAGCGTAGCGTAGCGCAGCGCAGCGCATGTTTTAAATCAGAACCGTGCATTGAAATGAGGTATGACATACTAGTAGCGTATTTCGGCGTAGCGTAGCGCAGCGCAGCGCAGCGTACGACCGAGGAACAAACTATTTTGTTTTTCTCAGAGCGTATTGGAGCGCATTCGACTGCAGACACGCTTAAGAGTCAATTCTAGTCACTTTTCTGCACCAATTGGTCGCCTTCAATTAGTTTTAAAATTCTCTCAATCATCCTTCACCAAACTAAATATTTAATCGAACGTTGTAGTCGAAATTCTTGCATAATGTTTAAACCGAGACTCGTGTTTCCTAAGGATTGGAAATAAGATGTATTCACCATGCTTGTTCCTGCCTTTACACACTTCATGCACCCCGACACTTCTCCTACTGATCAAAAACTGCCACCTTAAGGTATTTTCGACAAAACTAATACGAGCCGTCTTCGACAGAGCCATCTTCTATACTGTGATACCCTATTAAGACCGTCTACAACCTATGTTGCGCTACGCTACGCTGCGCTCTCTGTGTGTTTTGGACTACGCTGCGCTCCTATACGCTACGCTGCGCTGCGCTACGTTGCGCTACGCTACGCTGTCTGTATGTTTCTACACTAAGATGCAAGCCGGGAGTCATTTAATTGACTTTAATGCACGAATACTAGAAAAATACCGGTGGGGATCATAAACATAAACAAATGATGTTTTTGGGCGGAAAGTAAACAAAACCCTATACTAATAGCTTTGACTATTAATACAAACCAATAGTCAATGCTAATAGCATTAATTAACACATGGTTTTGTTTACTTTCGGACCAAAATCGTCATTTGTTTATGTTTATGATCCATACCGGGTCTTTTCTAGTATTCGTGCTTTAATGTATCAATAATTTTTAAATACAAATTAATATATTAAATTTATTTAAGTAGACAATTTCAGTCAAACAAAATTAGCTTAGTTTGCACTGTGCTGTTTTAGTATTTCTCATTCACCGATTCACCAACACTTGTTGTAATTTGCAGGTAAACTGGAGCTGTGGAGTTTCTTCTACGGACCTGTTCTGGTATTGCTCATATTCAACATTGTCTACTTCATCTCTACTGCACTCTACCTATGGGCAGACTACCGCAGTCCAAACCCTATGCCTCGCATTAAGTCCCTTCGAATAAAGTAATTCAAGTTTAATTGACATTAGTTTAGTATTTAAGAATACATTGGTTTTTGGTACAACATAGGACACGATTAATGGGAGCCGTTGGGAAAAGTGTAAAGGAGTAAACCACCACAGCTTAACATGCCTTCTTACTGCACGGATTAAAGCCAACATACGAGTACAATAGTTAAAAGTGTTAAGAAACTTATTGAGTGAAAATTTCTATGGCACCTGATTACTTTGTTGTCTGTTTATGTTTACAGAATTCAGTGATGCAAGAACAATGATAAATACCCCTGTCGCAGCAAACCTGCATACTAAGCGAATTTCCATTTACCCGGCTTGATTTCTACTAAAATATTCCCTATAAATTTTCAGATTTATTTCCTATTTAAATAACATTAATATTAGTGAGTAGTTAGGTTTGCTGCTACGGGGAAGATGTTAAGGTGTGTTTTTTCAATTGAAATATTAATAGCTTAGTATGAAATAAACCAAATTGCCAAATTTGATTAAAATATATCCATAAACAAGCAAACTAGAACAGTTTATTTATTCTCCATAAGAATAACATGGTAATTTTAAATTTACAATTTTTTTAATTTTCTCCGTAGTCAATGAACATTTAAAAACACTTCAATATACTAAATTATTAGTTTTTTTAAGCTCTTCAAAATGGTCTAGAGAGAAATTTAGAAATTTAAAGTTTTTAGGGTCAAAAATGAGAAAAACCCATTTTTACCCCATAAAACCCCCCATAAACCCCTGATCCCATGGTCCGATTATGCTGGTTCGCGAACTCGTTCGAATAAACGTAGGTTTACACGTTTGTACCAAATTTCATCAAAATCGGATCAATTTTGCTCGAGTTATCGCGCTAACGGACACATATATAAATATATATATATATATATATGAATTTGAACGGATGGTGTTTTTGCCCTCTGGGGACCTCAAAACGAAAAAGTAAATCGGTCCAGGGTCTAGGTCTTACCATGAGACCTACGGTAATAGCTTATTCCCTATATGGGAAATTCGCTAAAACCAAAACTATAGGTATAACTATATTTATTCTCTGCTTTAAAGTTTTTTTCTACTCTACATTTTCTCTTTTCTACCTCTGAGATCTGATTGAGTGCATTTGTTAAACTACTTGTTGCTCAGGGATTTAAATTAATGGATAAGCCCATTGTATACTCAAAGACTTAGTGAGAAAAATAATTTGACCACTGCAGATTTGACTTTGGGGAATGGACCATGCCGTTCTGTCTACAGCACCATCTTAACCTCCAAGTGCGGCCAACTGCATGCTAAATTCAAACACGGTGTGAAGTGACTTGACACAAAGTTGAATTCAGTCAAAGGATGCTACCCCACAACACAACAGAACACAATAATACAAAATAAACTTGGATACAAAAAAAAGGGAGAAAACTGTTTTGCTCCTGTTCCACAACTTAAACCAAACCCGCAATATTGCTGGTTGGGGAGCTTAGCTTATGAATGACCCACAAAAATTCTACAACTACTTTTGAATGAGAATTCTGACTTTTGAATCTGGACAATAGAGAAAAACAAAACTACAAGCAGCTAAAGATTCAAGGGCTGTCCTGCTTGTAGAAAGGAGTGTGGAGGGATTCGCTCATGCTCAGATCCATTTGTATAATCATGTCGAGTCAAAAGACAAAACGAAACTCACTGGTTTTGGGTTTTTTCGAAGCAGTGTACAGGACAGCCTTTTGTTACAATGGTTGAAGAGTCCTTGTCGCGACAATTAGACGCACGAATCTCTTGTAAGGAAGAGAAACAGACAGTAAATATTGATAAACAAAAAAAAGCTACTCGAAAAATAAACGTAATTCGTATTGGAAACAGTTCTGAAGATATTCTGAACCAGCTGATTATTTCTGAAAGATATTTAGAGCTTCCTTAATTATGTAACTTAATGAAGAATTTATGTGTCTCTTTGAATTAAATGACTCCACACCCACACCACAACATAGTTACAATTCAATATTATTATCAAATTAAACTTACTGTATTTCAGAATATTTTATATTTCATTAGGTTGAAAGAATTTTGTTTCTACATCAATGTTATTTTAATTCATTATTTTGCAGATTCTGTCTATACTTCAAACTGTTCCTTATTATGGGTATAACATGGATATTTGAAATCTTATCTACAATCGACAATGAACCCTGGTATGTGTAATATAAATTTAGTAATGCTAAAATGTCCAGAATTATTTTACACAGCCTATTTTTTACAGGGTGTCCACATTCTGAAAAGTCAGGGATAGTCATGGAAAAAGATTCTGGTCATTGACAGTCATGGAAATAGGCAAAAAGTCATGGAAATCCCCAATGATGAAGGGATTTGAGGGGACCTATCAATGCTCTAGTCAGCTGTAACACTATTGTAGCATCTTTCAGGATTTTTTGCAAATGTACGACAATTAAATTTGAAATTGATTACAGTTGTAATAGTTTATAAGTTTTGAGTTTCTTCTAGTTAATTGTTGTACCTATTGTACTCCATTGTTATCTGTTAATACATATTTCAGTTTTTTCTGTGAAATAACTTATCTAGGCAGTATTATTTGTGTGTATGTTATATTATAATTTTTGAGTAAAGTTCGTGAGTCATGGAAATCAATGGTAATGGATAGTCATGGAAAGTCATGGAAATTAATGACAAATTTTCTGTGGACACCCTGTTTTACTATAGAGAGGTGTTTTATGAAACTGTCACAATGGCAAAATCAAGATACATAATTATGATCAATCATAACACAAAAAATGTTACCAAAATGTACATTTGTAAAATGATCAGAAAAGAGAAAGAGCTCAGAACAGTAAATCAATTTCTTAGAAAAATTGGTCTTTTGTCAAAAATTAACTAGTGTTGTTTCTAGGTATGTGACGGATATCCTGAACTGTTTCCAAGGTGTGATAATCTTTGTGGTGATGATTGTACTACGCAAGAGAGTTTGGAGACTGTTGGGTGCCAAGCAGCTCTGTGGCATCACACTCGGCCACTGCTGGAGATGGGATCAGATGGAAGATGAGGAGACCATCAATGAGCTTGTTGATGAGCAACAGCTGTCAAACACCAACAATTCCAAACAGTAATACTGTGGCGACTACTTTCTTCCAACAAATCTGAGTCTTAAAGCAACAAGTGTCTTCCAAAAACACAAAGCCTTATCAGCAACAACTGTGATCTACCCCAAGACTTAACAGAAATACCTATCTACCAATCTAAACCTTTAAGAATCCTTGGAGGTCATCTTGGATGATAACAAACAGCTGCTGAAGAGTTAATTATCATACAAACATTTTTTCAAACACCTAAGTGATTATAATTTAAATATCTAGGACACTGTGATATTGGAAATTTTCTTTGTAGTTTTTAATTGTTTTGCCTACAACCACCTTGGATTTGCCAGCCATAAGAGCAATGTTAATTTAGTCAATTTCTCAAACAGCTGCTGAAGAGTTATTTACCATCTCAAAATATTTGTTCAGATACCAAAAATACCAAAGTGATTGTAATTTAAATATCTACTAGTACACGGTGAGATTAGAAATTTTCTTTGTTGTTTTTTCTATATTTTATGAATTAGAACGTCTAGGCAAGTGTCTTTCCAACAACTCCAAGCCTCAACAACCATAACTGACTTCCAACAAATGGAAGCTTTGACAACAACTGTCTACAATTTAGTTCCAAACCTTAGTAACAATTCATTTCAAACCATAACAGCATCATGTATCTTACAGCAATCTTTAAATACAACAACCTGTAAATAAAATCACCGAGGTTGTGGACATCAATACTTGAAAACAAGAAAATACTACAACACGAGGAATTAATTTCTACTGAACATTACGCACCCGCTATTAGGCATTTATGAAGAAATATTTTTGTTGAATATTTAATAATGCAAATACAATGAGACAGTTTCATTTCATTTAGGTATGTTTTACACTGTGAAATATGTTATATGTATGTGCAAGGCGTTGTGTACAAAAATCGTTACCACAAAAATTGTGTAAAACTAGTTTTTGCTGTAAAGTGAATATAGAATATAGATTTAATAATTCATTGATAAATATTTTTATAAAATGCCTAAAAGCACCACAAGGGGGTTTATCTACAAAAACTTGAAATGTTTAACTTAATTGCTACATAATATCTAGTCAATTAAAAACAGAGTATTAACAGAACTAAATTAACGCAACTTTTTATTAATTACCGTAACTAATAAAAAACTTCTTAGAAAACAATTTTAACCCCCTAAAAGTTGAAATTTATTATTGAATTTTAGACGAGGGGGGGTTATTAGTAAATATTCAAAACAAAGGATTATTTCAATAAATTTGCTTTTTAATAGGAAAATGTAACAATCTTTCCTCATATCTTATTCTTTCATACTTAAATAAAAAAATTAAAGATTATAAAACTTTTGGAATGTTGTTTGAGCTTATATAAAAATCACAATGAGGGATTGTCAATTTTATCTCTTAGACTTAATGTTGTTTATTTAATTTAATAATTACTACCATAATATCTTCTTTAGGTTGAAATTATTTAAAACACCACACTGTTTATTAAAACTAAACTAAACTAAGTATTGTGCCAAAGAATAATTATTTTTGTAAATATAGTAATAGATTATTGAATTGGTTTAAAATGTAATTAATTAGGCTTTTTATAGTTAATTTTTAATGAAATTCAGTACTTATAGGATAACACAAGTCTATCGTATTTATTAGTCTAAGAAGCATGGTCATTTTATGATTCAATTTATTTTTAAATCTGCCATTGAAATGCTTCAAACTTGAGTAAGCTTCAAAATATTAGTAATTTCAATGTGTTACTTAAAATTTAGCTAAGGGTAGAAATTTATTCATTGTAGGAGCAAGAGCCCAAATATAAATTAAATGTTTAGTTGATAAGGAAAGAATGTATGTGGAGATCTTACAAGATGCTAAGCCTTGCCTACCATAATTCTTAAAATATGTTGAATGTTGATTATACACAAGGAATAAACTTGATATTGTAACAAACAATGCAAAGTTTTGTAAACCATAATGAAACATTTTATACTTGTATGGTGAATAGTCCTATGACATTCCTAGGTCAATTAGGCAAAAAGCGGATAGTCTTTGTGCTTAATTTGGGCTGTATCGGTTTAGAAATTTAGTCCAGACGGATACACACCATCTCAATTTTATAATAGTATAGATGTGACTAATATCATTGACTATTAGTCAAAGCTAATATACAAACAATTTATGTATGCTTTTCTGTAACAGAGCTTTTCAGAGGAGGGGATTTAGGGACAGGGGATTTACACAGGATTTTTGTGGGCATTCTAATATCTAGAATGCCTACATTATTTCTATTTTCTATTTTACACATTTATATTTTCTATGTCCAACCTTCACATCCTATGGCACTAGGCTCTCTAGCCTTGAACAGTTTTCCACAATATTACTGTACTCCTAAATATTTCAATTTTGACTTACTTTTACATATTCTATGTGTACTTAGTGAAATTCATTCTGTACAACAACAACCCATCTAAAAATCTAGTCAGTACCAGTTATTTGAGTCATTCACATGCCATTTTCATAATAACGCTCCCTATATCTATCATTTACTGGCTTGAAACCCTTTTTTCCAATCAAATAAACGGCCATGTTTAATATATAACTTTTAACATTTCTATGGTCTCTTACAATGGGATAAAAATCAAAAGGTGCACTAAAAGAGTAATAGTAAATCCCCAAAATAGTAATTGAGTCTTTTCAAATTAGTTTATTATTCACTTTTCTATGGCTTATAGTTTATAGCTTATAGCTTCTTCTATTCTATCTTGACGGTAAAGAATTTACATTTTATACCAGTGCGCTACTTAAGTAAGCAATTTGAGTCTTAATGAATAATTGCTGATGACTTTACCCTGTAAGTCCATGCTACTTCACTCAAGTCAACGCCTTACAAAAAATAAACCTATATAATGGATTGTTGAAAATTAATTCCTATTAATGAATGAGTGTGTATAGTCAATGGTAGAACGTATTTCAAGAATACTGTAACATGTTTTTCTAAGTAGTTTTTATGGATTAGGAAATTACTTGTTAGCTTTTAAGAAGAATAAAACTTTGATACTATGTGTTGTGTTTTTTTTTGTGTTTTAAAGTGATTCATTTTTTTAAATTATTTAACATACATACCAAATTCCATAAAGATCGGTTTGAGACAATCCAATGTTTATGTAAAAAATATATAATGGTGGATATCTGGTTAACCAAGCGATTTTGGAAAAATGTTTATTCTTGATTTTCTCTTTATTTTGTTTGACCTAAGTAATCACTAAGTTTTATTTTTTTATTTTTATTTTAAAGACGTTTTAATTATGTCCCCACCTTTTTTTCAACATCCTGCATATAAATCTAAATTAGTGTTCAGGCTCTGAATACGACCTTTGGACATACGTTTAACAATTAAGTTTTTGCTGCTTTTCTGTAAGACTTCCAAAATAGTATATTACAGACATTACTAGACCGGAAAATATGTGTTTTTTTGGACGAGTGTGTGTGGTTGTTCCTATACGATGGATTACGATTTACGATGTTATTAAGTCAAACACATTTTGGACGAGTGATGTACGTTTTTTGCCATAGGCCTACTACTCTAAATTTAGCTAACAATAACAAAACTGTCAAAATCTGTTATAATGTTCACATCTACAGGATAAGAACTCATTTAACTTAAGGACTCATTTTATGTTTTTGTTTAAAACCACCTACAGTCATTAAACTAGTACCGTACGTCTTCAGTGTTCATCGCCCGCACATTGTTAGCTCACACCGCTTGCTACGACTGGCTTGAGAGTGATAGCAATGATAGTGACGACGAACTGTTTAATATGTTCAGCATCCAAAAGATTTAAAAGGATTCATCCAACTGATCTAAGAAGAACCCGAGTTCCGTCATCTAACCATAACGCCATAACGGATGACCTAATGAATTGGTAATGGTGGGGGACGGTGACAGTGACAGCCCAATACGATACTCATTGGTATGCAACTACGCATGCGCGTATTCGGCGAGCGGCAGCGACGTCGCTCGCGTATGAACATAGAAATACATATAGGGTAAACAACAACTTGTTGTAGTTCTGTTATTAATACGGTATGAAATGATAATTTCATTAACATTTAGAACTACATTAGCGACATCTTTCGAAGACGTAGTAGCCTATGACGTCTGCCGACGCCGGTGTGAAAAGTTCCCCGTATTTACATTTTATTCTATGTGGAATTTCAGGTATTCCATGGCATTTTTCAGGTTACGTCACCTCGTCGAGGTCATGTAGCGCATGTAGCGGCTATGTACTACCAATACACTATCACCATACGACCACGGTTGACTGTAAACAGTGACGTGTGTGGAAAGTACATCACTGCTGAGGTCAACAGGTGAGTCCCGTCACAGGTGACGTCACCTCATCGAGGTCATGTAGCGGCTATGTACTACTGTACTACTACACTATCGCTATACGACCACAGTTGACTATAACAGTGACTATTAACAGTGACGTGAGTGGAAAGTACATCACTGCTGATGTCAACGTAAGTCCCGTTGAAGATTACGTCATCTAGGATGTGGTAGGCTATGATGGCTATCTCAGTTAATTTGATCACTTAAAAATGGGGGAAATTAAGGAAGGAGTCAATTTCAGCAACCACGGTCCACACAAGTGGGTGACGTATGCGAATGTTTACAAACTTCGCTGATTAGATTGCGACAGGCGGACTCTTGACACGCATTGTTGGGGCGAGAAATACGTCGCTTCACACGACACATAGCTTCAACAACGAATCAACCAGGGCAGCAATAGTGTGATGTTTAGACAAGGACCCAGATTTCTGTCGGCCTACATTGACAGGTGCACTACTGTACGATGCCAGTGGCGAACGTCGTCGTTTGACCTTTCCGCTGCGTCAGTGTCTGCAGTGCATTGAGACCAGTTTTTACCTAGACTGCCATAAATGACAAGACGCCAAGTCTGACAAAGACACCGGGGATCAACAAACTCCACAGCAGAATACAATAACACTCACAGCCAGCTGGGGCCACAGGGCAATACAACTGATATAATTAGAAATTAAATTTTCCAACACTGTTCTCGTCGTATTGGTACTCTTTATATGAGAGTTATCAAATTAAATAACA